ATGTTAGAGGTCATAGTGTCAGCAGTATTGCTGAAGATGTGATCGGAAAGAGGGCACGTTTTGGACGCTTTGCGGCGAATTGGTTGTCGAGGAAGACCCTTGGATTACCAGGGTTTGGTACAGTTGGTCAGGAACCTACGAACACGCCTACAGGTGCCGATCAAAAGGCGGCACATTCTGTGGGCACAAACGTGAACAAGGAAAATGCGGAAGCAACTGCGTCAGAAGTCGACGTTTCGCTACGGCAGAGCGCAGGGCAGCTGTCGTCAACTGATCCGATGATTGAATTGTTGCCGAAATTACTTCGTTACACGAAATTGCTTTTTACCTCGAATAATTTCTTCTTTGCGTATGACTATGACCTCACTAGACATATTGGCGGGCAAAATTTGGCATTCAACAATGGCCATCTGCCACTACACAAGGTAGTGGACGAATTGGTAAGTCGAAAACATGTCTTTATGTCTGATCGCCCTCAGCTGACCTTAGAGTGCAGTACTTCTGGAATAGACATCTCATGGAGCCATTTATCACAGTCGATGCCCATGGTTTCGTGTTGCCGCTGATGCAGGGTTTTGTCGGCCAGCGGGAATTCACCGTGGCGACTACAGAAGACCATCGACCGACAGGACCGAATAATCCTCAAAAGAGCTCGGAGGGGCTTATCGTAGATGAAACACATCAAACGCAAGCCCCGGGTGTTGATAAACGAAAATTCCTCCTTACCTTGATTTCTCGGCGGTCGGTCAAACGACCTGGCCTCCGATATTTGCGCCGTGGTGTTGATGATGAAGGAAACACCGCCAACAGTGTCGAGACTGAACAGATACTCTCGGACCCTGACTGGGATCCTTCACGCAATGTCTACTCCCATCTTCAAGTGCGTGGATCCATTCCGCTATACTTCTCTCAGTCACCCTATGCTTTCAAGCCCGTTCCCGTGCTACATCACTCGCCAGAAACGAATCAGTTTGCCTTTGATAGACATTTTCGGAACTTGAGTCGAAAGTACGGCAAAATCCAAGCAGTTTCACTCATTGACAAGTACGCGGGCGAAAAGAAGCTGGGGGAGCAGTATGAAAAATATGCGCAAGCTATGAACCAGTCAGGAGGGATTGATGGGACACAGCTTGGCTTAGAGTGGTTTGATTTCCACAATGAGTGCCGCGGAATGAAATTTGAGAATGTCAGTCGACTTGTAAATAGCTTGGAGAGCACCTTGAACGAATACAGCGACACAGTTGTACAAAACAATACTGTTGTGCGGGGACAAACAGGCATCGTCCGCACCAACTGCATGGACTGCCTAGATCGTACGGGAGTCGCGCAATGCGCCTTTGGCCAATGGGCCCTAGAGCGGGAGCTGAAGCAGGAAAGCCTAAATATCGACCTTGGCGGCGACTCATCGACGCAATGGTTCAATACCCTTTGGGCAGATAACGGCGATGCCATCTCCAAGCAGTATTCCTCAACAGCAGCTCTGAAAGGTGATTATACTCGGACTAGGAAACGGGACTATCGAGGTGCATTGAACGACCTGGGACTGACGCTAACACGATACTTCAATAACATTGTCAACGACTATTTCTCACAAGCGTGTATCGACTACATGCTAGGAAATGTTTCCACGCAGGTGTTTACAGAATTTGCAACGGAAATGCAGACAGCTGATCCAGGAATATCGGTTCAAAAACTCCGCCAGAATGCTATAGATACGAGCTGCAGGATTGTGATCAGCGAACAGTCGGAGGAGTTTCTGGGTGGCTGGACGATGCTAACTCCGCGACAACCTAATACTCTGAGAACCTTACCGTTCGAGGAAGCTGTTCTCTTACTCACAGATGCCGCCATCTACAGCTGCCGGTTCGATTGGAACATCGATAAAGTGTTGTCATTCGAACGAATTGATCTGCGCTCCGTAACACGAATCAACTACGGCACATACATCACTTCCATTCTGACCGACACGCAGACTGACCAACATGGTAACGTTGGCCTTGTTATCGAGTACCGTGAGGGCGATGCAAACGCTCTTCGTGTCAACACCCGCTCATTACAAAGTAACGTGGATACCAAGACGCTTGACAGCAACGCTCCCTCCAGCAATGAATGGGACGTATACTCCTGGTTCAAGGGTACACCCCGCTCGATGACCCGATTTATTGCATTCAAAGCTCTTCCCCTCTCCAACTCTGTGACACAAACAAAGAAGAGCAGCATAACAGTCAGCGAAACAGACTGGGTGCGGACTATCTGCGAGGAAATAGAGCGAGCTATGAAGACCGGCGAAGTTCAGCGACCAGATCCAAATGACCAAAAAGAAGAAGCTCCATCCATAATCGAAGCATCGGATATTATTTCCTTAGATGATGCTAAGAAACGGACAGGTATCTTTGAGCATTTGGTTTATGACATCAAAAAGTTGGTGTGGGCGTAGATGTCAACGGTATATGTCGTTGTCTTATGTGGTTTACGAGCGAACACGATTTCTCTTGAGAAACTAGTATATCCTAATATATAAAATACCACATAACGCACTTAGATTTGTTGAGAACATACCAGGAACATGTTATTTATACTCCCACCGAATGGACCTGCTCCCTTTCTGTTGCCATCTGCTCTGTTATTTGCATATTTCGCACCATTTGTACTAACGGAGTTAGGCACCACATCTAAACGTATGTACTTTATGGCGTCGATCAGATAGCTGAGATAATGATATATGCGTACCTCACCACACTGTTGGATTTCCTAGGAAACGGGCTCAGTGGTATAGCACACCATCCTTTGGCCCTTCCCTCTATTTTTACATGCACGTTCCTTGGTCACGCTTTCCCGGTAACACCGCATTTCTCAAGACACTCGATATTTCTGCCTCTAGGCCCCAGTCACCTTCCCACCGTTCCATCCGGACGCCCTCTTTGAAATGCCCTGCTAGATGATTGGTTCTTAACGCCCAATTACTGAGTTCCAGACCACAGAATCCACAACGACTTCGTATATCACCTCTTTTCAAGCGCCAGGCATCAAGATCTGGGATTGGGACCTTGGTACAGCTATGGAACTTGCGTAGGTGCTGCCATAGATGGTCTTTTCGAGTGAATGACCGCTGTTCTATTGGCTTCTCTGCACAAGCGCGGAAGTCATGTTCCTCTAAATGGGCTTGGGAAGGCCATGATAAAGAGCAGAATTTACACACGGCCTGGTTTGGTTCGGTCAATTCTAGGTCTGCGAGGTTCGGTGTGCAGATCCATGACTCCAAGGAGAGGTGGACACTTGTCTCGTGCCGGGTCCAATCGTTCTTCTTCTTGAAGCATTGTGGACAGAATGTGCACTGGTATCGATATTCCTCAGCAGCGTGTGAGGATCGGCGTTTGTGCCGTCGGGGTGGTTTGATGGGGAATGACAGGGCGCCGTCGTTGGGAGATTGATGACTCCATGCTGTGGATATACTGTCGGATGATGCTTCTGAATGTCTGCTCCCGAATCCTGAGATTGAGGAGTCGAAAAGGGAAGATGATGCCGAGTCGAAGTTCAGCGATGGTGATCCGGTTGGGAGACGGTTGGTTTCAGAGGCCAAACCACTCCAGCTTGAGTCTGCTGTAGAAGACGCGATGGCATCCCTAATCGCTGCTTCAGGCACTGGATCATCTTCTGGAGGAGATGCCTGCCATCGCTCCAAGGGTGTCATCGCTGTCCACTGGCTAGTGGGCATTGGGGAACCAGCTCGGTTGATTTGAGGACGGCCGGAGAATTCCATCTTCTGTTTCTGGCGTCGACGGGCATTGGCAAACCATGTCGAGATTCGTTTCTTGGAGAAGCCTGTCTCACGGGCAAGCTGCGATTTTTGGTCCTCGGAAGGATAGGGACACTCCTGATTCTGAAGGAACCATGACCGTAAGACTCTGGCTCCTTTTCTGACAAATTGCTTGGAGTCTTTCGGCTCAATTTTGCCTCTCGAGTGATCTAACATAGAAGCGTCGAGCTCGCTCTCTTGCTCCGGGATCGTCATCTGGTTCGCAAAAGCAACATCCTCGCTCAGCTCCCGGAGGCCATGGAGATGACCGATTGCTGGAACGAGGGTCTCAAACCCGGAAGGTTGGCGTTTCTCTCCTATTGCTAGACTGCATTCGCGGAATAAAGCCACGCAGCTCGAACACGAGGTGATTGGGTTCGGATTCGCTGGAGTGGTCCGGATAATCAGGCACTGCAACCGGTGCTTACGACAATAGCTACAGGGATGCGGTGGACAATAAGCACCATCCAGAAATTGGGTTACATCAGTAAGTCCTGGACGCATAGGCACGGGGTTATATAATTCTTGGAGTTGATCAATAGCTGCAGTGGTACCGGTCTTGTTTATTTGGGTTTCCGGCGATGGAACAGTTGGGTCACCTTGGATAGGAAAACGAGATGGCATCTCGGTTTGTTCAGATGGGTCAGAAGCTAACCATTGTGACCACTGTTCGTAGTTCGGGTTTGAAGAAGCGCCAAGCAGCTCCGCGTTGAGTGCATCCCAGTCGAAGGCAGCATTCTCCTCTAGTGGCAAATTAAGGAAGTTGATATCTGGCACATGGAAATCGTCGGCTGACCTGTCTTCTGGTTTAGAGACTTGTGGAAAGTTTTGCGATAAATCTAATTCAGATTCATCACCCATGTTTATGTATAAGTCCACAGAATCCCTGAAGGGAAGAAGTGGTTCAGTTCATCAGAAGAATCACGTCACGTTGTTTGTACAAGCTTGGAAGCTGCTGACTCACCACCAGACTCTGCTAAAGTGGTTTAGCCTAACTGCTGACCGCAACCTTGTCGGCTAGAGCCAATAAGAAATTACTTAGTTCTCTACTAATCTACTAGTATATCACTGCCAGTGGCTATATCAGGAAATCTTACAAAGTAATGAATGGTACTCTCGATGCGCTGAGTAGCTTCTCGTTTAGCCATTTCACAGCCTATGTACAATATATCAGACTTTACTCGCATGCGGAGTATCTCAGCTATCACTGACAAAAGTCTTCAATCAGTCTTCTGAACACATTCTCATGCTGCTTCAGACTCTCAACTTCGACCCATTCCTCCTTGCTGTGCAGTCCCTCACCGCTAGGGCCGTACACTATTGATGGAATTCCTACCTCACTGAGAAGTGCCGCATCGCACCAGAAAGGTGCACTGCTTACTTGAGGAGTATTCCCCAGCACAGAAGTCGCACAAGCGAGCGCTCTCTCAACAAAGGGATGATCAATCGCCAACTTCTGCGTTGGGCGGAACATGGTAGCGCGAGGCTCTGAGTACTGGAATTTGGGGTTCTCCCGGACAATACCCTCCAAAAGATCGTTAAGGTCACCCAAGATCGACTCCTGCGTTTGACAGGGTATAGTGCGGAATTCAACAGTGATAGTGCATTTCGCGGGATATGAGGAAGGCTCTTCGCCGCCCTGAATCAACCCGCAATGAAAGGATGCCGGGCCCAGTACATCATCGACAGGCAACTGCTGTTGATATTGCTCAAGGGCACGAAGGAACCAACCAGCATAAAGGATAGCGTCTTGTCCTGCGGCGGGGTTGGATCCGTGAGCAGCAACGCCGAGGATATCGATCTCAACCCACAGAAATCCCTTGTGGGCTGTGACTACTTGGCCCATGGTAGGTTCAGGAATGACAGCGGCATCGGCACGCCAACCTGCTGCCAGCAGGTCACGTGTGCCTTGGGAAGCATCCTCCTCGTCCGAAACAGCAGCCACGATGACATCGCCGCGAAGATTGTTGCCGCTGGCTTTGGCGGCTGATACTGCTGCCAGTGCTGCTGCTAGACCTCCCTTCATGTCGAGACAGCCTCTCCCGAACACAACTTGCCGGCCATCTTTCTCACCCAAGGTTCCCGAAAGGGGGTCGTTCTCGTAGCTCGAGAGACTTACGGTGTCTATATGGCCGTTGAACATCAAGGACTTGCCTCCCCCGGAACCGCGCAGGACTCCGACGATTGACGGTCTCCCGGGGACGGTCTCGATCCAGTGATGTTCGATGCCTCGGTGAGCAAACCATGCGGCCAAGTAGTTTGCGATCTGGTTTTCTCCAGCGCCGTCTGCCAAAGATAGTGAGGGATTTGAGGAGTTGATTGTCGTAAGGATCTGTGTCAGCCCGACTGAGTCTTCCGCAGACACTTCCTTGGGGATGGGATACGGCCGTGGACCTTCAGTGCTGAGTAGAACAACCACGGAGTCTTTGTTCAGAAGAGTTTGTGCCTCCTTCGTCGCAGCAAGCCGCTTCAAGGTAGCCAACGATGCAGCACCACAAGGCCCAGCCTTTATCGACTTCGTAGCCAGGTATTCAACCGCAGCGTGACATTCATGACTAGAAATCGTGACACATGCATCAACAAGCCTCTGCAAATCAGACCACGCAGTAGTCGACACGGTGCCACAGTTCATCCCATCCATGATCGTCGACGACGTTTGAACAGCGACTGGCTTCCCGGATCCGAGGCTAGAATGCAGACAAGGCGCCGAGTCCGGCTCAGCGGCCACAACCGATATGGGCGCATCTCGAGATTTGTAGTGTCTCGCCACTGCGTGCGCCAGACTGCCAACCCCAACAGGCGTAACAACGAAGTTACACTGCAGCCCTTCCTTGGCGATCTGTTCATCGACCTCCATCATCATTGTAGAGTACCCCTCTACAATCCACGAGGGAATGTCTTCGTAGCCATCAAATGCAGTATCTTGCACCAAAATGCCCCCGTCAAGAGCCTGGGCGGCATCTGCTGCGTCTCGCACTGCCTGATCATAGTCACCCTGAACAACAATCACACGGGCGCCCTCGCTCCCGATGAGCTGCTGTGTAGAATCACCCATACTCCGCGGAACAAAGATATCCGCCTTGCTATCAAGTAGTCTCGCAATGAAGGCGACAGCTCGTCCATGATTACCTTCCGTAGCCGCAATCAGAGTAATCGGAGCTTCCTTGACTCTAGCCGACAAATCATCCAAGCTAACCGTGGGTGGAAGGCCCAGATGAGCAGTAACAGCCCGATAACAACCCCACGAGGCACCCAGGACTTTGAAGGCCGGGAGGCCAAACCGATCACTTTCATCCTTGACAAAAACAGCACGAACACCTAATTCTTCTGCAAGCTCAGGTACAGGGGTCAACGGTGTTGGGGCATAGTTTGGCAGTGACTGATGGAATTCTTTGAGACCATGGATATCCCGAGGGTCGCAGCGTGCATTTGCTGCCGCGGGGTTGAAATATATGGGCCGGCGAGCGGACATGTCGACAATGATCTAGGTTCTATTTTAAATCAAGAAAATAGTACCAGATAGGGAGTATTATTCGAAGTGATTTTCGCACTTATGTAGGGTTCTGTCGTGCCCTTGTCGATGTCCAACTGCCGAAAATGCGTTCTTGTAGCCTTCTGATGACATTTCAAGCGCCTTCCATGAACATCTCCACTTAGGCGATAACATCCACTTTCCTTAACTAACTTTACTCTCCATCGGACAGAAATTTTTGTTCAATTTTATGGGACTCGCTGGAGTTCTTTTCTTATTGGGCTGGGCAGTGTGGGGTGTACATAAACAATTGGAAATATGAGGAGTTTATATTCATCGGGTTAGGAAGATATGGTCACTGGAGAGTATAATACAAAAAAAGAAACTTTACTCGATCAATTTTCTAACCTTCAATGCAAAATTATACCAAACAAGAAGTAAATACCGCTCCTACATAATTACAACTAGTTCTATTTTCCCGGCTATGCGTTGGCCTCTTTCTTCATCCGAGCTTGGTCGTAGTTAACCACCGCCTCAAGTAAAGCTTGAGTTCCCAAAGCACTGTAAAATACAATGTTAGCACTATAGCCACAGCCATATCTTTTTGGACGCACTCACCAATCTTCAGGACGGCAATACTCCTCCGGATGATGACTGACCCCGTCCCGACACGGTACGAAGATCATAGTCGAGGGACAATGTCTACTAGTATTCACAGTATCATGTCCAGCACCGCTAGTGATATCCATATACTGGCCGGCGCCAACAAGTTCATCAGCGGCGGTGCGAACTGCATCGATACATCCCTGATCAAACTTGACAGCAGCAGAATCCGTATCCATCGTCCAATCGAACGAAACACCCTTCCCATCTTGCCTTGCAATATTAGCGAAGGATTCAAGGCATTCCTTCTGTACAGCGTGCACCACTTCATCCTCGAGGTGCCGGATGTCCAAGGTGAACGTTACTTGCGAAGCAACAGTGTTCGTAGACGCATTGGATGGTATCTTCAGTACGCCGGTGGAAGCCAGCGCCCCATGTTGCTTTGCAATCTCGTTTGACGAGGCAATCATCTTAGATGCGGCGAGTAGGGGGTCCTGACGAGCGCTGAAGGGAGTCGTGCCCGTGTGCGCATCTCGTCCGTACACGGTGAAGGTCAACCATCTGTATCCCTGGCCTCCTTGAACTATACCTAGCGACCGGCCGGTTTCCACGAGAATGGGACCTTGTTCGATATGCAATTCGAAGTGTGCACCGAGGGGGAAGCCCTCGGGCGAACAGGGGATGTCGCCCAGATATCCGTGTCGTTCTAATTCAGAACGGAGGGTCACATTGGGATCATGGATATCCCGAAGGTTCCAGGCCTGCTCAATGGGGATTACGCCAGCCCATACGCCAGAGGAGCACATAGATTTAGGGAACCGAGCTCCTTCTTCGCTGTCATCTTGTTAGTACCAGCCTCAGAAGTGGACGGGAAGGGAAAGGAGATATTCGACGCAAGAAAGAACAAGGGTGCCTACTTAGTCCAGTTAACCAAACCGACATCATGGTTTGTCTGATACCCATTCTCCTTCATAGTTCGCAACACCTCCAATGCCGCCATTACACCAAGAATTCCATCATACCGACCGCCGCGCGGTTGTGTGTCCAAATGACTCCCCATGGCAATCATAGGCGCCGATGAGTTCAGCCGGCCTTTCTGTCTTGCGAACAAATTGCCCATCTGGTCCACATGAAGCGTGCAACCCAGCTTTCTGACTTCATCATCGAGCCAGCGACGCACACTCGCGTCGGCATCAGTCAGGGTTAGACGAGCCATGCCGGTATCTGTGGAATTCCTACAGTATATGTTAGATGGGGAGCTAGAAAAGATATTCAAAAGTCCAGGTTATTAAGGTCTGACGTACTTGCCGTATCTATGAGCGGCGCCCCATTCACACGTTTCGTGCAACGTTTCCCATAGTCGGTTGTGGTTGATCTTGAGGCCTGATAATTGGCGTCGGGAGGTTGTCGAGAATTGTTTCGCAGAATTTGCGAATAGGGCGCAACCGGTGCGCTTAGTGAAGTGCATGATGTTGGTGTTTCGAATCTATGCTAATAAAATTATACACAATGTTATGACCTACGAGGGTCATTGGTGACGGCGAGTCCTCAATATATAAGTAAAATCTATCCGTATAAACGAAAAATATAGTGCCATACGCCTTCTCTCGACAAGGCTCCGTGGAGACAAAAGACACTCCACTTTAATTCTATGTTACTACTAGCTTGGTAGATGCTAGAAAATTAATTAGAATAAAATAAAATAAAACAAAAAAAAGTATGAGGGGAGACTGAAACCTATGTGAACGCAATGATTTGCATTATGAATGTTGAGCGCCTTCCAACAACATCCGGTGGCGGATTCCACTGTTGCCGGTCAACGACGACCGGTAACTCAGGTAATAACTAATCCACCAGAGGGAACCACTGCAAACTAAATAATTTTTTTTTTTTCTTTTTCTTCGTTCTTTTTTGGCCTAGGAAGCCCCTACTTTCATGTCAGGCATCAACAGGAACCTTTTCTTGATTATATTAAACACTACTAAGTAATTATATACTTGCTAATCTAAGCGGAAACTAACCCGCCTGCTATGGAGCGCATGCAGGATGCGTAACCATCATAGACAACGAATATAGTAAAACCAATTTAGTCTCCAAAAACTATGCTCAGTCATCAAAGGGTCTTTTTCATCTCGGCTTGAATCTCATAACACCGGTCGTCAACGCCCTCGACCTCCTTGACAAGTTTCTCCATCTCGTCGACCTGTTTCTTGATTTCTTTTTGAGTCATCCGCACTTCGCGGTCAAAAAGCTCTCGGTTCGGCTTTCTATAGCTTCCTCCGATCCGGTCCCAGATGGTTAGAAATTGACCGTAGTTGTAATTGAAATAGTAATGGTGAATAGTATGACAGGCGGAACCGTTTATAACAGGTGAGTCGAGAGCATACTCTCCATCATCTACAATAGGTCAGCAAGACTTATATCACCAAGTGAGACTGGCATGGGAAGCAAACTTACGGATCATAACAGTCCAGATCGTCACAAAGACAAACAAGCCCAGGTAGGCAACTTTTTGAAGAGGGAACAGGATTGGGAAGACGTGGTATGACAAGCTCTGCGCCCACCCATCCACCGGGTGAAAGGCGTAGCTGGCAAATGGAGTCGATATGATCCACTTGTGATGAGGCTTGTGTAGATGCTTGTAAACCTTGGGGTGATGTTCTCCGCGATGAATCCAATAGATCCCAAAGTCGGTGAACGCAATGAAGATAGGATATTGGAGGTATGTGTAAAGCGGAAAAGGCGCCTGGCTGGAGAAATCATACAGCTTTGTGTATCCCCGGATTTCGGCCAGGAAGAATGGAACCGTGAGGGCTGCCATCACGGGCATTGCGTTAACGGCCTGCGCGATCTCCATGGAAATCTGGTTACGTAGGAATTTCGGGTGTTTCATGGCGCGCTTGTCGTAGATGAAGTGAAACGAAAGGGTGGCGCTGAGAAAGTAGAGAACGATGCCAAAAACCCTGCCAGAAGAACGGCCTTATCATCAGCCCCAGTCCGTCTGATAGAAGAGTAGGTAGAGGCCCAACCATGTAATAAGAAACAAACTCAAACTTTGCCGAAGGAGGTGGTCTCTTGGCAATATACTTTGTGTAGCCCATTTGGAAGGTGTTAGGGCGAAATAGCGATTGACGCTTTCATTCAATGTTGCCAGCCCTGTGCCATTGGAGGGAAAGTAATGTACTAGTTTAGTTGCACTATGTCGTGGGAGAACCGATGCGTACAGTCGGTCGAATACTAGGGTGTCTAGCACATCAAGAATCACGTCCATGGTGCACCACTTGATTCACGCTTATCGGATGGTAGTTACAAGGCGAAACTCGAAGAGTATGAGGAAATCATTAGTTATTTAGTACCAACCCTTTGCATATACATTTCTATTACCGCGTGAGCCGGAATACGGGAGTTCCGGGGTAAGGGGTTAATTAGAGTAAGAGTCCCAATCACCGACATCTCCAGTAGTACTAATTACAAAGGTGGTACAGACTTAGCATCAGGAACGGTACCTTGCAGATTGCTAGAAGGCTGCCATTACCAGTGCAGGCTGTGTTGTACCTTACGATGCGGCGGCATACTACTACTAGTAAGGTATCATGTCATGACCCACTAGAAGATCTCCTGACGCATTCCGGGAATCCTTGGTGGTGTGGTATTCTCAATAGTATCCTACCTCTAGTGACTAAGGAGGGAGAGAATAGTATTTATAGGCAAGGAGAATCCATAAACATGTGACTTTTACTAGAACTTGATAAAAAGATGTACACCGGTTCATTAGTACTATATAATAGGCTTTTTGGTTTAGTCCATATACATTGCATACTATATAATGCAACTTCTTTCCATGATATCGCAATTCAACCCCACCTCGTACATTTCTTCAGTTGAGATCTCTCTCTCTCTTTTTCCATTTTTTTTTTTTTTTGGATCTTCAAATGACCCCTGTGATTCGAATGATAGGGGATGTGAAATTAGAAGATAATTTCAGGTGCTTGCCATGTGCTTCGTGTGGACATCTTATTCCTATCAGGAGCAATATATCGCATATGCGCTATACGGTCGAAGATCAATCAAGTTTTAGATAACCATGACAGGCTTATCACTCTTCCTGATATTTCAACTTTACCTAGAGTCAACCTTAAAACGGGAGATCGATGCCATCATCCAAAAAGGTCCAGCGGGTCTGCTGAATAAGCAGATGCCGTATCCATGTCCATACATTACTTGTATGTACTGTATCACTTTGTTACGTACAGAGTACCTGTAACTGTGGCTGCATACTCTCAGGACTGGGCTTGTTGCCCAGAGTACTGTTGGTGGGGCAAAAATGGTATTTCGGATATAAGCAGATATGAACACATTGTTTTAGACTAAACCATGCCGCCAAGTTCTAAATATCTATGGAGCAAGAAGAGTCCATGTTGATAACAGCGGTAATAACGCTTACTTTCTGCGGAGTAGGTATAAACCAGAGCCCCTCTTGGGTACCGGACGTCCAATCAATACGGTATTCTCAGTACTTCTGCGGTTGCCAGGTGAAAGAAACCTCCACCGAAAGTGGAATGGCAAAATTACTACTGGCAACGCACGGCCACAAGACCATCTCAATACCCACCAATCAGGTAAGGCTTGTCAACAGTTCCCATTCAACGAACATTATCGCTTCAGGAGTGATTCGAATTTTCTCTTATATCTGTTCATAATATATATGGAACAAGACTGAGAGAGGGACATTTCACTACCGGACAAAAGAAAGGCAAAGCGCTCTTGAATCCGCCACCCCAAGAAAAACCTGGATAACAGACCTTGTTATTTTGGTTTCATATACGGTCCGCGATCATCTCCCATCATCATCGTTCGCCTTGCTACCCTAAAGTTTTTTTTAAATATTTTTTTTTCTTACTCAATAGGAAAAAAAGCTTTACCCTTTAGTCAGTATTATTGCACGTAACGGATAATCAGTCACTTTAATCGATAGGGAGGGGAAATCATCTTATCTTTCAACCTTCTTTTCTTTTCTTTTTTATTGAAAAGAAAAGGAAAAAAAAAATACTACCTCTGGGGAAGGGGTTGGAGCCGCTTCGCACCAAAATCCACGGCGGGGTTTCCTGTGCGACTACTGTACACACTTTCCACACCTTCTTTGCAACTCCCTCTCGGCGCTTTTCCTTTTCGCACCCGCAATTGCTCCTCGTCCTCCCCCTCTTGTGTGCACAATGGAGTGGCAACCTCAGGATGAGCCATTGAGGCAGCTAGCTTGCTGTCTCAGGGACTCTTTAAATGCTTATGACCGCAACGCTCAAAAACAGGCCGAACAGGTGTGTTCCCTCCCTCTCAATTTTTATCGGAGGCCCCGTCCACATACCGCTTTTGGATCTCTATACCACTACCTGCTGCAAAATCCCCGGCACTCACACTCTACTATCATGATTCGCTGGCTTCTTCTAACTTTTCTTTTCTTTCTTATCTTGTTAGATGCTAGTACAAGCGACTTCCTCCCCCGATTATGTTAACTACATCACTTATCTGTTCAGCACACCGCAGTCCCCCCAGCCGGTGGGGTTTGACGAGAGCACTTATGACATGGTCCGCTTTGCTGCTGCGATGAACCTGAAGACAAAGATCCGCGTAGCATACAATACGATCCCTCAACCTTGTCTCTCATATATCCGATCGGTCACCCTGAGTGGACTCCGAGACAGAAACTTTCAGGTGCGGAGCTCGGCCGGTAGCATCATCACAGAATTGGTTCAACAGGCGGGCTTGTTGGCATGGCCCGAAGTGCTGAATGAGCTCTTGTCCCTTGTGAGTAATGCATCAGGGGATGCTCCAGTCGTGGCACAGGAGGCCGCTATGTCCGCCCTCGCGAAGGTGTGCGAGGACAACCGCAAGATCCTCGAACGTGACTACCAGGGGCAGTGCCCTCTTAATGTTATTATTCCTAAGCTGCTAGAGTTCACTTCTAGTCAGAGTGCCAAGGTCCGGTCTATGGCGCTGGGTACCATCCATATCTTCCTTCCTCACAGACCTCAGGCCTTGGTCGCTTCGATGGACCTGTTCTTGTCGCAGCTGTTCCAACTTGCCAACGATAATAGCACGGATGTGCGGCGAACAGTTTGCCAGACATTCGCACAGTTGGTGGACTTTGCTCCCGAGAAACTTATCCCGCACATGGAAGGGTTAGTGAATTACATCATTATGCAGCAACACAATCAAGAAGATCCAGAGCTGGCTCTCGATGCTGCAGAGTTTTGGCTTGTTGCAGGCGAACAGGCGAAGTTGCAACAACCATTGGCTCCTCATATGCCTAAGATCGTTCCCGTGCTGCTTCAGAGCATGGTCTACGATGAGGATGACGCCATCCGCCTGGCAGCTGAGGGTGACGATGCCGAGCTGGAAGACCGTGCGGAAGACCTCAAGCCGCAATTTGCCAAGTCGAAAGGCTCTCGGTTAGACTCTTCAAAGCCTGAGGAGCAGTCTAACGGCAACGCTGCTGCTGAGGAACAAGACGAAGACGATTTGAGCGAAGGTGAGATTGAGGACTCGGAATTCGGAGATGACCCCGAGGACGAGTGGACTCTGCGGAAATGCTCCGCCGCCGCATTGGACGTCTTCTCGAACGTCTATCACCAGCCGATTTTCGAGATCATTCTGCCATACTTGAAGGAGACCCTGCGCCACGACCAATGGCCACAGCGGGAAGCTGCTGTTTTGACCTTGGGCGCTGTTGCAGATGGCTGTATGGATGCGGTTACCCCCCATCTGCCAGAGCTTGTTCCCTATCTTATTTCGCTTCTGAATGACTCGCAGCCTGTCGTGCGGCAGATTACTTGTTGGTGTTTGGGGCGATACTCTGAATGGGCATCGCACCTCAACGACCCGGCGCAGAGGGCTAGCTTTTTCGAGCCGATGATGGAAGGTATCCTTCGTAGGATGCTAGACGGCAATAAGAAGGTCCAGGAGGCAGCCGCGTCCGCTTTCGCCAGCTTGGAAGAGAAGTCAGATGCCAACTTGATCCCTTACTGTGAACCCATCCTCCGACAGTTTGTCCAGTGCTTCGGGAAATACAAAGACCGGAATATGTATATTCTGTACGACTGTGTCCAAACTCTGGCTGAGTGTGTTATGGGAGAATTGTCGAAGCCACACCTTGTCGACATCCTCATGCCTGCTCTTATCGACCGCTATAACAAGGTGTCGGATCAGTCTCGGGAGCTCTTTCCGTTATTGGAATGCCTTGGCTACATTGCTGCTGCGTACGGCGATGCGTTTGCTCCCTTTGCCCCTCCTCTCTTCCAAAGATGTATCAAGATCATCTACGAGAACCTGCAAGAATTTATGGCTTCTATCAACAACCAAGCTATCGAGGAGCCCGACAAGGATTTCTTGGTGACCAGTTTGGATCTCCTCAGCGCGATCATCCAGGCGATCGATCCCCAGAAGAGTGGCGAGCTAGTAGCCAATTCCCAGCCACGCTTCTTTGACCTCCTCTGCTTTTGCATGGAGGACCCGAATTATGAGGTGCGTCAGTCGTCCTATGCATTGCTCGGCGACTGTGCCATCAACATCTTCGCGCAACTGGAGCCTTTCATCCCCAACATTATACCGACCCTTATCAAGCAGCTTGATCTGGATTTAATTAAAGATGATGATCGTCACACAGGCTTCAGTGTGCTGAACAACGCCTGCTGGTCCTGTGGAGAAATTGCAGTCAACGAAAAGGCGGCCCTGTCACCTTACGCCGACAAGCTGTACCAGGGCTTATATGTCATCATCAACAACGAGGAGATCATTGACTCCGTGAATGAAAACGCTGCAATGGCCTTGGGAAGATTGGGAATGTGCTGTTCCGATCAACTTGCCCCTCGCCTCGGTGAGTACGCGGGCGCGTTCTTGAAATCTATGAATAAGATTGAATTTACGCGGGAGAAGGCTTCCGCGTTCCTGGGATTCAACCAAGTTGTCATGAAGAACCCACAAGCCATGGAAGCCAGCCTTGCGGATTACTTCCAGGCGATCGCCGCCTTCCCTACCAAGTCTCTCCACCAGGACGATTACCGTGATATTCAGAGCTCATTTCAGCAGGTAAGAAGATATAGATTTAGCGTTGCCCCTTTCCATCTTTCGATAGCCACTAACAACGCACAGGTTCTGCAAGGCTATAAAAATTTGATACCCAACTTCGATTCGTTCCTCACCCAGCTTCCGGCTCATGTTGCTCAGAAACTTCGTTCTGTATACCAAATCTAGATTATGTCGGCATTGCTAGTGTTTAACGAGGGCAAAATTCTTGGCGAAAGGCGCATTAAAACTGCATTGCATTTTTATCTCTTCACCTTTTCCCCCATTCTTTTTTCTTTTTAATCTATCCCTTGATTTCCCCTTAATCTCTCTAGCCAATGCTTCAAATCTATTGGATGGAGTGAGCAATGACCTTTGTTTTTCTTTTCTCTTTTATTTCCCACCCATGGCGTGTTGATTTCTTTCGTTGTGGCGATTTCATGTCTGGGCCTTTATAGAGTGATATCTAATGGGCCTGTACAAACAATCATGAGCCTGGGGTAACGTATCCAAGGACTATATACAAGAAGGTGAAGGAATGGACAATGATGATATGCATAATGGACTGACTCGACGGATGAGTTCTGTGTACCATTTGGTTGATAGATTAGTACTATAGTAAATGAACGCAGCAGATAGAAATCCATCAATGAGCGTAACGATCGTTTAGTAAAAGCCTCTTTTTTTTCCCTTTTCTTCTCCTATCTCTGCTTTTAATCCACTTCTTGTAATATCATCTTAGTGGGAGATATAAACATCGACTATCCAGCAACGTACGGAGTATGTGATTCATGTCAAGGAAGAGGTCCCTGGATAGATGTGCTTTTTTAGGTTAGTTTATCCGGAATGGGTCGCTTCGCTTCAAAGTTTGACCGAAGCGGAGAGGGTTCGGTGACGGGAAACCCTACCGAAGCGCACTGAAAATTATTCAGCACATCTCGACAACCGCCCGCGCCTCGCCTTCAACACACGCTCCTCGACTCGATCAATCGCAACCACAGCGAGAGAATCAATCATTCGCAATGGATTCCGCCAAGGCCCCCGTTAAGCTCGTGAAGGTGACCCGCGTTCTCGGCCGTACCGGTATGACCTGTCCCCGCGTTTGGAAGCATCGAGATGGATTATAGGAAGTTACTGGGGTTGAAGGGAGATGATATCTAACGAAGAGTAGGCTCTCGCGGTGGTGTGACCCAGGTCCGTGTCGAGTTCATGGATGACCAGAGCCGTTCCATCATCCGTAACGTCAAGGGCCCCGGTATGTTTCGCTCTATTCAAAAGTCGAAAATAGCGCCCGGCTGACTTGGTAACCTTTACAGTCCGTGTCGACGACATCCTCTGCTTGCTCGAATCCGAACGTGAGGCCAGACGTCTGCGCTAAAAATATGCAAAAGCGACAAGGGGTCGGATTGGTTCTTCGGGAGGAGTACACTGGGGAATTATTGCATTGGCTTATGGCGGCAACCATTCGGACATTGATTTTCATGTGTTAAGAGCCCAGCAATGGAATTCGCATCACGAATGGATCCAGACTTAATACATCTCCAAGGATATTGGGAACTACGAATACGGACATGATCGTTTACCGCGTGCTGGATTGATGGGTCCCCTGGGAGCGAATGTTTTCTCTCGGTTTTACACATGGTTTCCGAGGAGTTTGTGTGGACATCTTCCTGGAGGGACCTCCGGCACGTCGGTTTTATGGGATTGAAATGACAAAAAAGAATTAGCGTTTCAGCGAGATGCAATAATGGACATCTCGTGAACCGATCTTTCACATGTCTCTTTCCATATTCTGTCTAATGGCGGGGTTTGTTGTAGCCCAAGTCGACTTCTCTCTCCTATCGCCCTGCGCCTTCAGTTTGACGATTCGATTACCGGTCTACCACATGATTCGAAGCGGTTGCTATATCAATCAGATCAGCCACGCATCGTGACACTTTGGCAGTGGTGCAATATGAGATTCGTCATTCCGTTTCGCTTGCAGTTTGATATTCGGGAGAGAGTCGAGCTTGTCCCACATTTGCACGTTCCTGAATCCGCCCTGGTTCTTCAGGAGTAGTAAAATCGTAGCACCAGTAGCTTGAAGCTCGTATTTCGGACCTGGCCCTGTAAGTCACAAGGAGGGATTGTCGATAGTCCAAATAAGTTTGCCCTTCCCCGGATCCAACCACTTCTCATGTCCCAATTTACAGGCAGCAGAATGACAGGCCGAGATCCATTTAGAACGAAGCGCTGCAGTTGACGGTCTTGACTAGCGCAATATCCAAAGGATGATACTCACCAGCCCTTCATGATCCTTCCTACGAACGCTTGATAATCCTGGCTTCTCACAAGGACTGTGTCCGCTACTGTGTTACATACATCATCGGACCGCAGTACTTCTAGGGCTAACGGAAAGTTATGGTGAGCTTCAATATCATCAACGGGCAATGGGGCCCGATTTTGAAGCTGATAGATGACGATTATTACCTCTCTGCAAAAAGCATAGTGTTCGCCCAATCTAGCCTTTGGAGACTATGCCATAGCTCTATCCTCAATTGGAACGTTGTCCTTAGCTTTCCTACTGTCGAGTTTCAACACTCTACATGGTGGTACTACAGATTAATACCATGTCCCCTCAACAACCAGGGTTATCTTGATATGTTAGATAGTGACTTATGGCTTCGAGAAGCTCACTGTGCATACATAGAAACCCCGAGACATAAGATGCCATCGTGAAATGTTGAGCCTGGCCGAGAGTCACCTATAGCCCCAGGCTCCATACAATCCTACTGCAGGATTGCACCGAGTCAAGTCCGATGAAGGCTCCACATAGCATAGAACCCTCACCACTATCTATTATCGCAGGAAACTTAAGGGCCAACCTGCATCTACAGATTACGTGAACACTCAAATGCATAGCGTAACAAGGGTTACCGGATAGAAGAAACCCCAGAGTGAACCTCGGGCCATCTCGCGGGAGGTAAGCAAGAGCACTACCAACCCAAATCAACCCTTCGTCTCCGTCGCGTTGCTCAATTCCCATGCCCAAAGTCCAGCGCACTGATCCATACCTGTAGAAAGCCACGAGTAGCGAACGTTACACAAGTAGCACGGTCCAGAGCATGGAAGCGTGCTCTTCACCCGCTGGTGCATGTCTATCACCCACAATCCACACCCCCAGCATGCCAGAACCAGGGTCCAAATATAGCAACAACACATGCGCTGGGGAGGCGTGCCGGCCAGTAGACTAACCCTCCATGTTCCACGCCTTATGGAAGTTTCCCATGCATCGGTAGCACAAACACAAACACAAACACACCACTACGTCTTCAGATCGAGGCAAAAAAAAAAAAAAAAAAAAAAAAGGCAGCGCCAAGGAAATCTAACTCAACCATCAAGGCGCAAGTCCTCATTTAATGATAATGATCATCCTCAAAAGGGACGAAGGTTCTAAGTATAGGTACCTCGTTGAATCTGCATCTGAGGACTTTAGTTTCTGCCCCCGAGAGCCAAGAACCCCCGGTTAGTGGTCGTTAAGGACCCTTGAGTTGGCATGCATGCATGTGGTCTCCGCGGAAAGAAAGTGAGGAATGGATCAATGGGGAAGGGTTTTTTGTTTAAACTCCCCCCTCCTCCCCACCTACCAGAGACCAGAGATCTACTTGGTCTATCTGAAACTTCGCGAGATGAAACTGATCTAGGTAAAATACAACGGAAAGTCCCGCCCGCACGGAGGTCGAGGAGTCGAACTCCGGTAAAAAAGAAAGGGGAAGACTCCGTTGTAGATCGGAGTCAGGATACTATATCCGTTGGGGAATTGGATGTTGACCATCAAGTTTAGTAACGATTACTTACCTTAGTATAGTAGTAGGCTCTGGCAGCTAATAATGGAAATTAGGGTACGGGGCTTGGCATGAGCGGCCAATGGGTGGTTGTTGGTGGCAAGCGGGGCCAATCAGATCATACGACAGGGCAGAATGCGTTCGTCGTGAATAAAGCTGTATTGGGTATGGTGCGGACTTCTGACCATGTCGAAGTCATGATAAGATTGGTGGAGAAGAAGGCACATTAGATGTACCCAGCTTTTGGTACTAGCTTGCTGGCCTAAGGCCCAATCTGGTTCGATCTGTCGGGTAAGGTGACTTTTTTTTTCCTGGGGCAGGTCGTTCCGTCCAGATTAGCCCTTTGCTATTTTTGTACCGGTTCTCGTACAGATAGGGTTCTGCATTGACCTTGGTTCATTGGGGAGGTGTGAGGTCATGCCTCATATTATTAATCGATGTGACATCTTGTCGGCTCGATACCTGAGGTATGGTGATCAGGACGAAGGAACGTTATAGGTAGACACCGATGTAGAGGTGCCCGGTGATATCAAGACCCAGACCCGGGCTTCAGCAAGCTTACCTCATAGACAACGCCTGATGGCGCTATGATAGGATAGGAATGGTTACTCAGGGAAAGATGAGTCAATGTGCAAATCAGGTCCCTGCACGCCTGATTCATAAGCCAGCAGACGAGACTAGGTGTTATTCGTTTCCCTCTGCTATTGACAACTAGTCCAGAAGCTGATAGTTTAAGCGTTGGCTTGACGTCCTCTGGGTGGGGCCGGCATGTACTCCATACATGGAGTGGTATTGATATATCGACCATTGTCACAGTAACAGTGCAGGACGACACCTGGGATGCGTGACAGTTACCAGGATAGGCTGGAGGTACGTTGGGCCTTCCGGAGCATGTACAGTATCAATGTATCTATGCTTGACACATTGACACATACCCACTGTAGCTCAAAGTACACCCAACCAGCTGTTGTCATTTGATTGATCCATTGGCAGACGAGACAGATCAGCAGGAGATTTTAACTTTGGTCGCATTTTACTCCTCTATTAAGTATACAGGTATTCTAGATAGGGTTTCTGACATGGCGAAGCGAGAGCGAAACTTAATAGAAAAGAAAAGAAAAGGTACAACGTCCATCGAGGAAAAGCCCCCCACCAGTGGCTGGCTAGTATCAGTCCACATGGCGTACAAGATGCCTGTGTAAGGTGAGTCACCACTGTCAGAGCTTGATAGGCAAACGTGAGCATGACCTATCTCCAAGGCATCAAGGAAGGTAGTTCTAATATGATAGCCTAATGAACATCCGATCAATAGTGATGACGGGCAAAAGCGAATAAAGTTACGCCGAAGCTAAACAAAGTTAACCAACCCTAACGCTTTTCTGAATTAAAAAGCGGTGACATGAGTCTGGAACACACCTAACCACATTAGGTGGCATCTTGCGACGGAGTGCTTGGCAATAAGAAAAACTGTCAGGGGGGCGTGACGGAGTGACTTCCCATTTGCCAATCACGAGACTTGACCATCTTAGAGCAATCTATCGAATGCGGAGAATGGCTCGGGACTTGCCATTGGTCGTCCCCCGTCTGACGGGTCGGTATTGTCCGTTTCTTACGGGATTTGGTTAGTGGGACTTTGGGGAAAGGTCAGTTTAGTCCGTTCCCATTTCTCATCTCCCTCTCTCTCTCGGTCTACTTCGTACCAGATGAAGGTCTTGAATTGTGGATTATCTTGTCTCCAGTTACCTAGGATGCACGCATCCTTGGCAACCTTGACAGACTGGAAATTGGATGGTAGCTCTGGTTGAGAGACAGCCGTTAGGGCGCGAGTAGTTCCTTCTAAGGAATAGTAACTACGAATGCACGAATGGACTTGTCTCCAGCTGTCCGGACAAATGGGATAGGTCCAATACCGCCAAGACTTCAAAGCTCTAGTATCATTGACAGGGATCAAGCATCCATTAGCCTCCACTCAAGGAATTTTTCTTCCTCAAAGATCAATAAATAAATAAACAAATAAAAACGTGGCATGAGGCTTTTGTGTTACACACGTCCAATGCATGCACCCCCCTCGATTGATGCAGGTCGAGGGTGAGCCTAGAAATGCCGTCATTCTCAGCAATTGTCGAGGCTTTCGACAGGACATTGTCTATGAGTGAGAAGAGAATTAAGGTATCCCCTACCTCTACCCGACCCCACCAATGAGCGGGCAGGATTAACTGATCGCTGATTCTTAATCTCGGTCGCCCGCGACCGTGGACCCGGACCGCAGCCCCCGAAAGGGTTTTTTACCCTATAAGTTAGAAGCCTTCATTAACCTCGTCCGTTTAGTGTTCTAGGGCATTTACCTTATCTGGAAATCTTCGTTAAAGGCCCTCTGTTGATCCAATCAGATTGGAACCGAAAAAGAGTTTCACAACGATTCGCGTTTAGCTCTTAATTTAGTTCAAGGCAGTTTCGCGTTAGCATTTGATGGGGGGGGGATTTTTTTTTTTTTTTACTTTAGCCTACCCCCCTATTATTATTATTTCTCTGATAAGATGGGAGCTCCTTACCGGTTTCCTGATACGTTTAAAATTAGCGAATTGACGTGGATCGGACTGACGAGTTCTGTTTCATCTAGGAATGCGTAACACACGGGTTTGCCCTCCATCAAGGCTGAAACCGTGTTACTTCTCCCCTCTTCTTATCAACAAGACTGTCACAAGTCATTCAGTGTCCCCAGCATGGCCATGCACTTCATCCACGGTAACACCATCCGAGGGAACTCAAAACCCGCCATCCCGGGACAGCGGGCGAAGTCATCTTCACACACGGCTGTAGGGCTCACTGCCCCACTAGTCGCCCGTGGCTCAGCCGCAAGCATTGCTAGTTTAGGTACTCTTGGTTGCAGGAGGCTACCGGATTTGTCGAAGAATGAAAACAAGTTCAACGTTTTGACCAGTCCGCTAGAAAGGAGAGGCTTCTCGTTCGACAGTGCTCCGTGCCTTGTCCGTAGAAGGTTTGCAGCCTCGATCTAAATCTTAGTTGGAGGAACTAAATCTTAGCTGCATACGCAGTGACCCTGGACAGGTGATTCGGTGCCTTAGTGGCTTGGCTGTATGATCGCTTATTCTCTCCATGGGTGTCTGTGTGTAAAGATACTTGAGAGCACCGTCAGACAGGGTTTTGATGGTCATGAGGGAAAGGTGGAAAAGCCCTCGGCCGAAGTAGCCCCCCCTCGTTATGATTGGGGTGTTGACCGCGAGGGTCGGTTGCTATTCCCGAATTTAGACCGTGTGCGTTCTACGGTTCTTATGTATCGAGCTCTGCTTGATACCGGCAATCCAAACGTGCGCCCCCTAGCGTCGGATAAAAACGGCGCATTGCAAGAGACTCTGCAAACCGTACATCAAAGTTGCGCGCTATCCACTCCATCATCAGGGGTAGGAAGCGATTCATCGTGACGCTATAGAGTCGCGGAGGAACTATAAGCAACATCTCCCCTAGCGGGGTGTTAAAGTTTCCCCTGTCTTTATACCCTCCAGAGGGTGATTTCCAGGCACCCTGAACGGTGCGCTCAGTCCGCCTGACGGGGTAATCGTTCGCTACATCATATCAATATTCCTTTTGCGGACGGATCCGCGGAATTAATTTGTTGGTGACTTCTGTTTGAATTGGACTACGTCCACGAGGCACCAGGATGAAAAAGCAATATAATTCTTTGAATCCCCTGCTAGCGCGGGAGCGACACCAAAAAGCAATTGTGCAGGTGTAGCGCATCCAATAATAGATAGATTATCTTCCCCTTTTCTCACCGGTACCTTCCTCGAGCCTCTCAGGAAGATTGGGTTGATTTTTAAATTTTTAAATTTATTTTTCCTTTTCTCTTCTTCTTCCAGTGCGGATGTTCGTTGGATATGACCATATCGGTCATAGGGTAAGGTCGTTGGTCGACGATCCCCAAGGTCTAGTGACGGGACAAGGGTCCCTTAGAGTCAAAGTAGGCGATCACCATGACGATATACTTATACAGTAAGAGGGGCTATCGGCTCGACGTTATCCAATACATACCTTGTCCAGAACGGAAAATAGACAGGGAAATGAGAGGTTCAGAAGGAAAGAAAGGCAGCCCACATGGTTCCAGGACAGGGTATCTTGTTGACAGAGAAGAGTCAAGCTACCCCTGGGATCGGACTTTTGAGGGTAAACAAAATCCGATCGTTAAGTAATGATAACCATGTGACGAACGACTTTAATCTGACGCCAATCAATGACCGGCCCGTCCGCCCACTGTGTGTCATCGAAAACCTATTGCCCAAGATTTGGTGGGTGAGTGGGTGAGAACCTTAGAGAACCACAGGACCGACAAGATTGTTCAGTCTGGGTCAAATATGGAGCATATCAAGTGCGAGCGGAAAAAAAAAAAAAAAAAAAAAAAAAAAAAAAACAAAAAAAAAAAAAAAAAAGAAAAGAAAAAAAGAAAAAGAAAGGCCTCTCCCCACCACATATTTGCCCAATCAAGTAGTTTGTCGGCCAACCCCATCCGTCAGGTTGAATCTTTGGGTCAACCTAACCTAAGCTATGGTAATTGATTTCCGCAGACCCTGTCCAGACTTACCCCATTCTACAACCAGACTTGACACCCAGAGAATCGATTTGGACGATGAGGCCTGGCTGCCGTTGTCTACATTATGGTTTCTGGACCGTGAACATGCTTAGACACGCCACACCCCAGGTGTTTCTACATCCGTCCCAGTCTCGGCGCTCGCTTCTTTTCTTTCTCTGATCATTTTCCCCCCCAAACTTTTATTTTACTTTCCCATAAATATTTTCCTTTTGGTATCGGACGATTCCCGTGACTAGAGTTCAAGCATATTTGGTAGAGAGGCTTAGACTCAACATCCTTACAGCAATCTGACTTGGCGTGACTCGCGTTCCACCCACTTAGGCACGGGGATTGATTACCTTTTGGCCCCAATTATTTTCATTTGGGTCCAAATTAACCTGCGATGGAGGGGGCACGTAGAAGCAGAGGAATGCAGTGGAAGGGGAAGAATTCCTTCGGTTCTTTCGAGATGGGACCGCAGGAAGGGAACTTAGCAATTTCCGGAATAGACAGTACTAGTAGCAGTACTTCTTACTACCAGGGGGAGGGGGGGAAGAATTAGAATGAATTAATCCTGGTGGTGGTGCTGCTGCCATGTGGTCCTCGCCCGAACAATGTGACTAATGAAACTCATGGGCAGCCACGCTGCCGTCCAAAGTAACCCTCCATGAATGGGGGCTAATCCAGGCCTCACATTCCCTGTCGGTACTAAGTTAGGTGCTAACTGTATCTACTCCAGACATGTTAATCCTGCCTATCCTTTTTTTTTTTTTTTTCTTCTTCACCTTTTTTTTTTATCGATATCTTTTACTATTGATTATTTTGTATTTTCTTCTTCCCTTTCATTTTAAATTTAAATTTTTTAAATCGAGAATTCCAAAAGGGAAATTGACGGGAGGAGGCTCAAAACCATGATTTTCAGGAATCCTCGGTTTTTAACCCATCCAACTACTAATAATAATTCCCTTCGGGCTCCTATTGTGGTTATAGTCCATACTTACTTCTCCCCTCCACCTCTCTTGTCTTTTCAATTTTCCCCATCCCCACATCATCTGCTGAAGGTATCCTTGAGCTGTGTATTTTCTTTTCCTTTTCTTCTCTTACTTTTTTTTATTACTACAACATTCTCAGGAGATCAGCATCTGACCGGCCGTCTCGTGGCGTTTGGAACGCATCCCCAGAGATTCGACTAGTCCCCTACTTTCCTAAGTTTCTTTCTTTTTTTTTTATTTAATTTTTTTTGGTTTAAAATTAAACATTTTCTTTTTATTCCCCTTTGGTTAAATTAATTTTCCTCGTTTTTTTAATCTTTTCCTGTTTGATCTAAACCTTTCCTTACCTTATTATGAGTGGTCCCTCAGCTCAAAAGGCTGCATGCATTCCTGGACTATTCGCCTACTACGGGCCCTGACTGTGACTTAATTATAACCCTCCACCTCTTATAATCCTTTGACTCCTCTTGTTCCTGTCAAAAATATTCGTCAAAATAAAACAGCCCAATTCCCCTCCCTTGCCGTTATCTCGTATTCCCCACGTGCGGACATTCTTCATCTCGTTCCTCGTTTCTTCCTCCACCCGGGGCTGAGGCTCGAGGTTATTTTTGGAGTCTGCATCTCTAGGCTTGGCTATTAGTTACTGCTATATACCTGCATCTCTCCTCTGTCTTCCCCTCTTCCCCAATTTACCTTTCGAGACATAACCCGAAAAGAGACTACCTCTTTGTTGTCATTCGACCCTTATCCACTGTCTTGTTGCGCATTGTTGTGTTGTGCCACGCCTTCTACACATCCTATAGCTACCGAGTGGGGTAGCACCGTTTGTTTCCATTGAGACCATTGCATTGTCTTGCGCCTTTCCAGTATCCAGACAATATGGCTGGTCCCGGTGGTGGCCCTCCTCGCAAGAGCCATACCAAGTCTCGTTTCGGTTGCAAAACATGTAAGAGACGACACATTCGTTGCGATGAGAGTTTTCCACAATGGTACGCATCTACTACATCGCCATCTTGTGCAAATGTGCTGTGGCTGACGGACAGTGTAGCCGGAATTGTACCAAACATAACTGTCGTTGCGACTACATGGATGTCGCTACCGTCCACGACGAATCATCTACCACCCGCAAAATCCCCGATCTTCTCATGTCCGGCGAAATCGAGACGGAAATCAAGAATTGGCACATCACGGGTGTGCCTCCGTTCCCAGAACTGGTACAGTACCCACGCAGTTGTTGGAGCAAACTCTCGCGAACCGATCTTCGTTTAATCCACCATATTATCGGACTGTCCATCGACCTACATCGTCGCGGCTTTAGTAACTCCACGATCTGGGCGCAGAAGATGCCAACGTAAGCACAGAGGCTGGGTTTTGTTTCGCATGAATGAAGGAACTAATATCCGACAGATTTCTCAACATAGCGATTACGAATGACTTTGTCATGAGTTCCATCCTTACTTTATCAGCGTCACATTTGGCCTGGATCACGCGAAATAAAGAAACCAAGCAGCTCGCTTATCATCACAGGGGGGTTGCGATTCAGGGGTTGCACAAGGCTATCGGTACTTTCTCGAAAGGCAACTGTGACGCTATCCTCGCAGCCTCCATCCTCCTTTCCTGGCAGGCTTCGGAATGGTATGTGATTTTACGAACCCGGTTCCGTGCAATACTAACATATTTCTAGGCATAGCTGGGCGTCCCTGCAACAGGGACTCACAACCGTCCTGAACTCAATGCATCCCATCTGGAAACACGAATCCGAACTAGCCATGTACCTGGAGAACCAACGGTACTTGGGATGTACTAATACGCCAATGATGACGGGCTACCAGTTCCAGGACGAGGACCTTGTTAGCCTCGACCAAACGACCATTGCCCTTCAGAACGTCCAGAAGCGCGTGGCTCACAACCCTGAACACTACCGTCGGATCGGAGAACTCCTTGAATTTGTAAGCCATTTCAGGCGAGATCTTCTGTCCTTAACCCCGGAACAGGCCTTTGAGCGCATGCAGCCCCTGCGAAGATGGCTCTTTTGGCTTCCCCCCGCCATGCTCCGAGGCGGAGACGCAGATCTTGGAGCCCTTGCCATTCTTGCTCAATTCTTCGGTATTGGCGTGGTTCTGGATAGTTTGTTCCCTGACCTGGGAGGCGCATACCTCGGCCCGCTATCCGTCGGCCCCATCGAAGACATTTATCGAATCATTATTACTAGAAGCATGTCGGAGCCATACAACCCAGATCTCCAGTTAGCCTCGACTATCATGGAATTGCCCCGACATATCGTTGCCCAATATAAAAGCCGACTTCAGTGGTCGCCACGGGCCTCACTCGACTACTCCCCGTCTCCCGCGAGCCCTTACCATTCTATGCAAGATTATACTCTAGCATCGTCATCCTCTCCTTCCTCTACCGCTACATGCGCACCTTACACCCCGCCGCTCCAGTCTCCACCAGCTGTAACGATCGCTAGCTCTCCGTTCGATGTAAATGGAACCTACGTCACAGCACCAGCCGTCCAGAGCCTTTACCCACCGTCTCCAAGTTTGCTCTCAGACCCACGAGAAGAACTATGTGAATACAGCCATACCGGCTCGCTCCATCAGTCGCCCACCTATCCACCACCATATGTGGATGATATGGTGTGCGGGGAGCTATCTCGGGTGGACGGAACTGTCGGACTGAATGTGGATCTCTACGGCGAGCCTCAACAGATAGTGGGAGGATATAGCACTGCGGAGCCGTGCTGGACTGGAAGTATCTGCACGTGAAGGTGGGAAGATGGTCGACAGAACCAGTGGAGGAAAAAGAAAAGCAAACAAAAAAAAAAACTTATATACCCTTAACCAACTTGCATTCTATTTACACAGCATATGGGCTTGAGCTTGGATCTCACATGGGGTTGGATGGATAGAAGGGCTGGTACTCTTGTATTTTGGATGGGGGGGGGAGGTTTTCATTCTACTATTGTTGCACTTTGTGCACATTATTTTGGATTTTGCATGGCTGACATTCGTTACGAATCCTGCGATATGTTACAGTGGTACAGGAACACCAGGACAGAATGAGGCTACATGAGAGCATGGATTGATATGGATATTCAAAAATCATATACCCGCTTGGCGTTTACTTTGAGATAATTAACGTGTATAATGAAATGACAAACTATCCCCGATCATCTTACTCTGTTCTGTAAGGTTTCATCAGGTCATCTATTAATAGCAACGAAACGAAACAAAACCATCAGGGAAGGCATGAGATCATGAAACGGTCGAGTTTCATGCGACTGGATCTGATCGGCAACCTACAGAACTAGACCTGTACAGTATGTACCTGCACGAAGTGGTTAACAGGAAAGGATGATCATCGACGTCAATACCACGAGGTCGAGATATATTTAGAAGCCCGCATACTTAGTCCAAATCTAAAGTAAGGACCTCAGGAATGTACTCTGTCCAGTACTGTACCCGCCGATCCCCCAAACCCTACCTCCTCAAGCAAGTAGTATGTACCAAATAACTTACACATATGTAGAGGCATACAGACAAGCAAACACAAACAAAACAAAACAAAACCAACCAAGCCACCCCAGCCCCATAGAACAAGGCAGTTGCCTCCATGCCCACCATCCAAACGCATCTACACATATACTAGCACATAAAATAGATAAAATACCAGGTCCCATAGATACAGAACCACTGCATACAAAACCTCAAAACCCCAAGATCTTGAACACAAAAGTCAAAAGATATATATAGATAACCCACCAACCACCCCCAAACTCTAACCCAAACAACAAGGAAGTTTACCTTTCCCTTCCTCGAAATTTCATTCGAGGAAAACGAGATACAGACATCCTGCCATCACCGAGATAATGATGATGATCGGCATGATGCATGGGGAAAAAAAACAAGGGCCCGGACTAACTTGTTTTGGATGGGCTCGTATTCGGTAGACAGATCGATGGGTGGTGGATGAGGCTAGGAGATTTTTAGCTAGCTTTGACTTTGGGGAAAGCGCGTGGGGCTGGCTTAGGTAGGTAGGGCTATATTGGTTATTGTTATAGGGTCTGTGGTTTGGGTTAGTTTGGTGGAATACGAGTTTTATTTTAATAGTTCTTATTTTTAATATTTTTTTTGGGTGGGGTGGGGGATTTATATGTATATATTCTGGGAGGGTTTGGTTGTTTTCTATTGTGTTGGAGTGGTGTTGTTGATGATGTATGCGGGTTTGATGGTTTGTTTTGTGACTAGCCGTTATTGTTTTCTCTCTGTAGAACTAACGAAGTGGGAAATTATATTCTTGCGAAGATCTCTCTTGTCAAGAGTATATTTGACGAGGACGGGAGACTATAGGGTTTTACTGCTTGTTGGTTTCTCGCTGCAAGAAATAGTTGTCCGCCCATGGCTGAGAGCATGCTATACCGTCGAATCGAGCATTGTTATCTATTATCCCGATGCGATCAGTACTTTAATGACAGTGTGACCAGGTAACTAGATTGTTGTGCTGAAGTCTCTTCGGGGTTCTCTACGAATGGAACTTATTTTGCTTGGTCAAGTGAGGAATCTTACTCGGACACAAGTTCAATATTCGCTCCGAACGAGCCCTAAAGATCAATCCTACCAGGTCTCGAACTTATTCGACGACTTGATGGAGCCATGCCTCGTTTTCACACAGTATATTAGATCGTAAGCCTCGAGTATAGCAATACATCAAATGTGGAAAGCCAAACACGCGCAGTGCTGGATTAACAGACAGCTATAGAGAAACGAAGGGCTTCGAGGTATCATGTTCTCTCTGCAAAAATGCTTCATATTCGTGTACTGCGCCCTGTTAGCTTCTGTCTTTATATACAGGGTTGATCGATATAGGGTGGGATTTGGAGATATATGCTGAGGGAGACACGCAGATCAATTCAGAATTCGACCCAACAATGTCGGAGAATTTCCATTCTATATGTTTCTCTAAGAACCGTCGGTTTCGATACTTGGATCTGAGGGCTATATGTCCTCCATTGAGACTGTGCTCTCAAAGATGCGAAGCGCAAACTGCTGGGAGAAATATCCGAATCAATTCATACCACAATGCTGATGGCCAACGGGGCACCCATAGAATGGAAGGCATCCGATGCAGATGCTTGTTGGACTGTAGGTTGTCAGAGTGCCACATCCTCATAGGATTTTTCGATGTTTGGCCTGGTATTTATTCGAGGCAGGGCAGTATATGAAAGACAGCAAGCACATAAAAACAGCGCAAGACCCCGAGTCTGTAATAGGGCCTATTGAATAATTCACTTCAGGATCGTTAATCAAACATACATGTACTAGGATAGTCACTTGATCGTCCATAAACAAGATTCAAGTCACCACCAGAAGGAGCCTATGCTTTACAAACGAAGATGTGGGCCATCTGGCCGGAACATCTAAATAGTGTTTAGGGGCCAGATATCTTAGGAGGATGATCTTGTCCATTTATAAAGTTGAACCACTTGACTGCACTTCTCAAGGTATGACCCGTGGCTGTGGAATCCTTTGAGCGCGCTCGAGCATGTTGTTATCACGTTTGAAATTCGGAAAGACACCGGCAGAGCATATTGACAACGGAATGTTCTCGAAATTGAGCCTTTGTGAAGTGTTAATCTTGGTCGGTCGGCTAGCAGTTCCTACCGCGATCTAGACAGCGACATGCTTGAGGCTCCGGTGGATGGCTTTGCTGTCCTTGACAAAACAATCCCGTTTATGCGGTGTAAGGGGTTGGTAGAGAGCCCGATCGACACAAAATATGATCCTGAGGAGTACGGAGTAGATTGCGCGGCTGCGGAGAGGTGAAAGTGAGGGGAGAATTAGAAAAAGGGAAATTGGACCCAGTCAGGAAGATGCCATGAAGTGGAAAACCACGGAGTACTAAGGGCAAGGAAGGTTCGGCAGTTGTATGTGATGCTATTCTGCCGCTGTGATACGGAACTGGCAGCATTAATCGTTGGTACTCAATCAAATCGATTTGACTTCGTACATGTGACCTTCCCTTGCCCCGGTTCTAGACTATTGGCAGTTAGCGTAACCACGTGAGCTCATACTCTATTTTTCGGGCGAAGACAAAATGAACCACCTCATTACATCACCATTTACTTTCTCACTGACTTTCGATAGTGGTCGATCTCATAGCATCAATCGCGTTTTTGGGGTATCGTGCACGTTCCTTGACTAGTCATTATATACAGGAACACATAAGGGGCACCGTCTCCATCTGGTTCATGTTATTCATACTCCGAAAGCCAAAAAGGGGGATCTGCTGCCTTAGCTCCTTGATATTCCGGGCAGGTGGAGGCCGAGCGTGGATCTCGCATGGCTTTCCGGCATGTGCGCTCACTATTTGATAATTAGTCAGTACTAAGCTTTTCAAGTCCTCATATTTGAAGTTATGATGACCAATACAGTTTGCCTTCTATCGCAGACCAAAAAGTAGTCACTTGGTAAAATGATTTCCATATGTTGCATGCAATGTCAAATTACACCATGCCTTGTAACTGCCTGTCACTCATCCGTGGTGGCGGAACTTCTCCGATTTCGCTGTCTACCGGCACACACTGTGCTCCACATCTGTAACAGTTGTCCTGATTGAGTTTTGACGCCGGTGATATGTGTGCCGAATTACTGACTAGTGGTTCATGCCTGAGATATCCGCCAATGGTTGTGCCAAACCATGGTTTACTGTGTATACTTGAACCCAATGCTAGTCATGGAGCCCACTAAACCCAATTACCGGGCAGGCCCAAAAAAAACCTTAACTACCTGCAGATCATTATACAGGGCTCTGCCCAGTAATAGGGAAGTGGCGCCCTTTCCCACTTTATGGTTACTTGTCTCTGCCCACATGGCGACTAGACAGCCTTCTTGCTTTGTTCCTGCATCGAGCTTAATTGAGATCCAACCCCAGGGTTGAGTCAGGGCCATTGCCATTCAGACCTTCGTTTCTTATACTGAACGACAACCTTCAGAAGGTCGACGCTCGACCACACTATCTTCTGAAGTCTCCGTGGACTGCAGTTTGTCATTGGTCTATGCGCGTATAAGACGTGGGCTAGGAAAAGCCCCTCTCTGGTGTCTCATCACTCAATTCAAGGCGCCACCATATCGTCGTTAAGATGAACTATCGCAGTGAATCGATCATCATCGCTACCGCGGTGTCCGTGGGAATATCTTTAATATCGATGTGCCTGAGGTGTTTTGTGCGGTTGCGTGTTGTGCGGGCATTCGGAAAGGATGATGCCACAATGGTGGTGGCCATGGTAAGCCTGGTGGTATCATTCGAGCATGGATCGTGACTAACAATAGCAACACTTCTAGATCTTCAACTTGGCGTTTGCCATCTGTACTTTCGCTGGTGCTAAGTACGGGTTCGGACAACAGATGACCTGGTTTATGGACAAGCCGGGTTACCTTCGATACGCTTTGCTGGTGCGTTTCTACTGATCGGTTCCCCATCCCCTGTATGGTCTAACATCCCATGTAGTACTGGTGGCTTGGGCAGAATTTCTACCTAGTAACTGCCATTATCGCAAAGATTTCCATCGCCATGACCCTTCTTCGCATTACTCCCAACAAAATCCACACCGTGATCCTATACACTATCAGCGCATCGACGATCCTTGTTGGGACGATGTTTGTCTTGGTCAGCATCTTCGAATGTACCCCAGTCGACTTTTTCTGGAATCGCTTGACAAAAAGTGGCAAATGTGTCGACCCCAATGCCTTGGTGGGGATCGCATATACAGCCAGCGTTGTGGCAGCGGTTGCCGATTTTGTTCTCGGACTGTTACCATGCTTCATAATTTGGAATCTGCAAATGAACAGGCGAACGAAGATTGCTCTAGCAGGAATCATGGGCTTGGGCTGCATGTGAGTCTCCCTGGTCAAGGTTAGGACTATGAGCTTCCCTCTAACCCTACAAACAGTGCCGGTGCAACCGTCATCGCCCGCATACCGTACCTATCCGCCTATAAACATGCAGACTTCTTGCACGCCACCCATGCAGTGTCAATTTGCTCGAACATCGAGACTGGCGTGGGTATCACCGCTAGCTCTCTTGCGACCCTTCGTCCTATCTTCCGTTTCCTACGGGACACCACATCCGGCTCTCGCAGTCGCAAACGTCCCACTGAAAATAGCTACCCATTATCAAGCGTTGCTAATAACAGTGACAAACATCACTGGGTGGACAAGACCGGCGGGTACCACGGCATGTCTACAACCATTACCGGCCGTCAGCCGTCGATGCAGAATGTCAGCACAGAGAGCATCACGCCGCTGTACCAAGGCATGAAGGTCGAGCGGTCGTTCCAAGTCGAGGTTGCATAATTTTCATGATTTATTATGTTGATGTGTAATACCATTTATGTACATAGTTAATATACCCCCAATTGCTAGTAATACCCAGAAGTTAGGACGCATATGAAGGAAGAACATCACTACGCTACTTGTCGCCTCAGGCAGAAAATGGCCCTCATATTACTAAGAAAAGCTCCGCAGAGCTTGTTTGCATGCAAACCAAACATCCCCAACCCAAACCGCGATATCGTCATCAGCGGTTTGAAAAGCTCCATCCAACAACATATACACAATCATTGAATCTTTCATCCTGCGTCGCCCATTAGGAACCTTACACCATATAATAGACATAGTACACAAACCCAACCCTCAGAAGTCAACAAAAATGGCCGATGCAGGCGGCTGGAGCACAATCGAATCAGACGAAGTACGCCCACCACCCATCTATCCTCCACACAACCAAGACTAACAAACCTCCAAAAAAAAAACAGGGCGTCTTCACCTCCCTAATCGAAAACCTAGGCGTAAAAGGCGTCCAGTTCGAAGAACTCATCTCCCTAGATGCCGACACTATCCGCTCACTAAGGTGCATACCCCAAACCACCTTCAACCCCGTAGCTAACATGAAATACCAAAAAAAAGCCCCGTCTACGGCGTAATCTTTCTCTTCAAATACCTCCGCGACCAAACGCCCACAACTCCCGAAGCCCCCATCGACGGAACCTACGACAAAACCGCGCCAGAGAACCTCTTCTTCGCGGCCCAGACAATCCAAAACGCCTGCGGCACGCAAGCGATTCTCTCTGTGATCCTCAACCAAGACAGCGCATCTTCAACACCCTATCCTATCGACATCGGAAATGAACTCCGCTCCTTTAAAGACTTCACGACGGGGTTCCCGGCGGATCTGCGCGGCGAGGCGCTCTCGAACTCCGAGACGGTGCGGACGGCGCATAATGCGTTTGCACGGGCGAGTCCGTTTGTCGATGAGACGGTGCGCACCGCGAGGGATGAGGAAGGAGATGTGTATCATTTCATTGGGTATACGGCCGTTAATGGGACGTTGTATGAGTTGGATGGGTTACAGCCGTATCCGATCAGTCATGGGGAGTGTGACGCGGAGAGGTTTCCTGAGAGGGTGATTGAGGTTTTGCAAAGGAGGATTGCGAGATATCCTGAGGGGGAGACGAGGTTTAATCTCATGGCTGTTGTGAGGGATTTGAGGATGAGGGCGAGGGAGATTGGGGATGTGGAGATGTTGTCGAGGGAGGAGAGGAAGAGGCGGGCTTGGGATTGGGAGAATACTCTGCGGAGGTCGAATTTTGTTGGGTTTATTGGGGAGGTTTTGAAGGGGGTTGTTGGGATGAAGGAGAAAGATGGGAAGTTTGATGAGTGGGTTCAGAAAGCGAAGGGGGAGACAGAAAGGAGATTGAGACGATGATTCTATCCATCTATCTATCTTTCTTTCTTTCTTTCTCTTGTTACCCTCTTGGTCGTTCTAGATCATGTGGTTTATATGATATACCGGATGTATACGAGAGTAACGGTCAGGCAATATCAATTTGATGGTATTCATGGCATAACCCGTAATGCTGTCATAAAGCTAGTGTATGTATGTATGTACATCGTGAGTCATATCAATAACGCCGCACTGCCGATTTGTTGAAGACAGTTTGGTCACCAGTAATTAGGGAGTGCCTGCTTTGAATGTCACAGGCCGTATTAGTACTCGATAAGGCGGGGTTTAATGTGTTGAACCAAAGCTGCAGGCAATTCCTCCTCCCGAACAAGGTTTAATGACAACAAATCTGCCCAGAAGAACATGGCCCGGTCTTGCGCATAAGCAAGGTAATCAAATTCGTCTGTCTCCTCCACATCAGTATCCGGTGGAGGGGTTGTTGAAGGTGTCTCCTCGGACTCTGTGCCATTGGCGCCGTTTTGCTGGCCATTTGCCGCGGCATCAGCTGCGATGCCCTCTTCCATCCCGGGGACCTTCGCTTGCACTATTCCCCATGCCACCCACTGCGCTGAGTTGAACACACGCCAGAGCCGAGCCTGCTTGATTAATGATCGGATTTCCGCTTGCGTCCGGTCCTCCTGGGCCTTCTCAGCATCTACCAAGCTCTGTTGGTCGACATCCGGTCCCGCGTCAAGGTCCAAAGGAGCAAGTGAAGTGATGTTAGCAAGTTCTCCTGCTTGCATGAGTGGAGTTATAGATGGAGATGACCGCACGCCTAAGCCAGGTCGATGTGTCAAATAAGCACTGATAAAGCGATGTTGCTGCTCCAGGGTGGGGAAGTCTCTGTTGTTGCATGCCCAGGGTCTTTCTGGGTCATGATAATTGTAACACCATTCGGTCTATCTGGTCAGCAAGAGAGGAACGATATCTGCAGCAAGCAGGGACTTACGAAATGGTTTGCGAACTCAAATCCAGGGAGATTCGCGGATGCATACTCAAAATCAATGACAACCAACTGCTTATGCTCGTTTTCCGGCCGCAGGAGCGGCGACTCAGAACTAGGTTCCATTCGCAGAAGATTACCATATTGAGTCTGCATAGTCAGCTTTAGTCTAGAGGAATCTCCGGAGAAAAGACAAAACTTACATCATTATGGGCAAAAACAAGTTGCCGCTTGATCTCCTGCATGCCGCCATAACCGTTTATGAGGTGGTTTCGGTAATTATCGACGGCTTTCCTGAACGTCGGCCACGGAACACCGCAGACAAAGCCTCGGCGTCGCCAAGGTTCTGCAACCGCTTTAATATCATTGTGCTTGGACTGGATTTCTTTATCCAACCAGTTGGTGACTTGCTCGCAGCGATCTACCCATTTGTCCCAGTTCTTAAATACCATCGGACCCCCCTCCCTCTCGGTATCGAGTAATTCAATGCCCTCATGCAGCTCTCTCATGCGTTTCGCGATTTGCTTCATTGTCCCGGGATCGCGCAGCTCTTTCGGAGTCAAAGGACGGGCCTCGAAGAACTCCTCGAAGCGACCGTTATTGAAAGTTCCCAGCACTCGGGGCCCGATGTGCTTGCGCCCCAGACGACGTAGGATCTGCAATTCGTTTTCCCGGTCGATGAGGTGATCCACCTGAGGCCCGTAAATGCGCAGGAGTAGCTTCCTAGTGGCAAGTTAGATTGAGCTTGTTTCTAGAATATGGCCAGAGTACTTACGGTGGGGGCTTCCTGGGTACGAGGCTGTAAGAGCCATCTTCGGCCCTGGGCGGAGGGATATTCTGAGGCGGCGTGACCACATACACAGCATTGGTTAGCGCACCACTCAGTCGAACTACTCCTATATCACCGGCGAGTTCCATGGGCAGCTTCCGCCACCCCTTGAGTTGTAGCGTGTGAGTGATACGCAGTATCTCATTCTTGAATACAAACCAAGCCTCCCGATCCAGGGCCCGCCTGGCATTTGCACATTCTTCATTCTCATCATCTTCGGCGCCACCCCCGCTGTACGCGAGTGTCTTGGAGTTATCTAACGTCGCATCAACGCTGGGAGCAGCTGAGTCACCATCTAGGTAATCAGATTCAGAGGCAGAACCCCTCCGTAGGCCCTTCACATGACGCCGGCGGGTTGACCGCCGAACGGGATAAGCAGGCGCAGCGCTGTCACTGCGTGAAGCGGCGTACTGGATGAGGATCTTCTCCAGTTTGTCTAAGGCAAATACATTGTCCGCCCCATGGGAAGTTGTCCTCTCCAAATCGGTACCATCACCATTACCAGGGTCTTCGTCATCCTCATCATCCCCATCACTACCCGAACCATCTGGTTGTGCATGCGCTTTTACTTTGGGATTTTTCCGTTTTGATTTTTCACGCTGAAGCCATTCCAAGACTTGGTGAAAAAGGGCATTTTGCGGATCCTCTTCGCCGTTCTGCATTTCTTGTTCATCCCGTGCTCCTGACTCGGTTATGACACTAGATTGACTGCTTAATGGCGCTGTGGGATGGAGTGGTGGGCGTGCGGTTGCCTTTTTGCTTATGGCAGGATGTTGCTTTCTGGAGTCGGGCGCAATCGCGGTATTCCCATTGCCATTTGCGTGACGGGCCTTCTGCAGCGAGGCGATGCTAAGACCGGTACCGTAAATCGGTTGAAATCCTTTTGAAGATTGATTAGAATCCATCAATAATCATAAGGGTTGCGGCACGAAAGGGAAGAGAGAGAGAGAGAGAGAGAGGACGCAAGAGAGAAGGATATTATTGGCCCCAGATAGAAAGTACACAATTAGACGGTGCTTGAGGAATGGGCAGGGGTGATTGTTGAGTCGCAGTGGGCATCAGATCATCTGATCCGAGAGCAGAACCTCGGGAAATTTTTACTACTACAAATCGAATGATGGAAAAGGAACGGTAGCCGCAAAGTTAAAAACCTTCTGCCTACCTTCAATGTCAGGACCAGAGTCCCCGTTGTGGTCGGTGAAGGAAGGCATATCCACGGACACGCAACAGTTTGAGCCAACAAAATGGACCCTTGCGACAGAGAGTATATAGCCCAAGCTTCACACCCAGAGAGGGGAAGCTGGTCACACTTCGGCTATATATGGTTCCCTAGAGTGGCCCACGGGGAAACACTCGGGCCAGTCAAGGTCGCAGGAGATAGAAATGCGAAGAAAGACTGGGTAACTTGCGGATTCGACGACGTGGACGGAGAGCAAAGGAGGACCCCTAAAAAGATTGTGGATTAGTTCGCCAAGTGGGGTCCCCGATAGGATGAACCAACGCTCGGCGATTTTGTCTCAACAGTTTCCACTTGCGATAAGAATAAAACCGAGATGATCGTGATGATGGTGAATCAGCCGGTTGCATTTAAATAGGAGATGGCCGATGAGACGCAGAGAAAATGGAGACAAGAAATAACAATGACGACGCAGCCTTGGTTAATGAGTGGCGAAAAAAAGAAAAATTCAAAAAGAAAATGAAAAAAAAAGAAGCGTTATCGAGTGAAGGAATGAGAAAAGAGGGAACGGGACATGTGCTGCACTGCTGCGGACGGACTAGTGCCTCAGGTGACGTCCCACCGCATTTTCTCAGGGAGGAAAATCAAATCCTAAGAGAGATAAAACCAAACCAAAAATGCCCAATCGTCAGAATCCATCCATATTATATATACCATGCCGATAAGTATATGTTATGATGTTATTAATCTTGTGTCCCAAGGGGGGCAAACACCAACCCATGGTGTCGAAGAGCATCGTTATGTTTGCTTGTCTTCCAGGCCAAGGGTCTGTGATTAAGCTTGGACCCTAAGAACTTAAGTATAATAAGGTGGCAGCCAGTCGGCGATAACCGTACTCTAGACTGAACGAGATAAGCCGGCCGGGTAGTAGTAGTACTGTGTAGTAGTAAATCTCCTGGGAGCTTGTCGCATAGGGTCTCCACTGCTCGGAAGTATGGTTCCAGGTACGATGCAGTAGTCGCATGGGAAGAGAAAAGGCTATGTAGTGGTGTAAAGTAACATCAATACAGATCAGTCATTAGCAAGTACTTCTATCGTCATCATGGTCCTCTTCGTACACGATGCCTGACTACCTATCAAGAACCATGCTGTATCATTCCTCACGCTGTCACCAGCAATACATACGGAGATTTGTCGCATAGGGGAGAACGATTATTCGTGCCATACGTGACCGGAGGTTGCAAGGGCACAGGTTCATCCGGAGTCATCATTGGCGCATCAATGTGTGGTTCTAGCAGTAGAAAAGGTTTGGGATGAGGTTGTAAGAAAGAGGGGAAGGGCCCTGACTTCTTAAAGGAGGGGAAATGGTCACTGACCCTGGCAGCCTGAGGCATGTTTGCCTTGCAGAATGCCAAGAACGCCAATCAAAAACGACGCCATTCGTCCTCAAGCGTATAATGCAGTTACTTTATGGATCTTTAGGTAGCGTAATACTACTAAAATATCACACAATCATACGAATTTTCCCAAGCACGTGCTGAAGGGCGATATGTGTGGAGCTTCCGGGCGCTGACATATGTTAAGTACAACCTACTGTATTTATACGAAACCCAAACTTCCGATCAGTTATTGATACCTTCGCTCTCTCTAATACTATGTATATATCATGCCAAGATCTGTCGCCGCCCCTCGCCGTTCTGACAGAGCTTAATGATAGCTTACACTCCAAACCTTATAGCCCTCCTCAGATGCCTCGCGTCTCTGCATAGCCAACGCTCCTTTGCTGTCTATCTCAATGGGCGTTGCGTCAGCATACTGCAATGTGTACCCCTTGCCATTGCCAACAAAAGTGATCTTCACGTCCGCCGCATGGCTATCCTGATCGCTAGACAATAGTGTGCCTTTTGGTCCTAGCCATTTGCCGTCTAGGGCGCTAGAGATGTGAAACACTCCACTCTGTTCACCACCAGAGTAATGGATCACCCATCGTTGTTTCTTATCACCATAGCCCGAGCTAGTGCGGCTGCTACTGATTCGGGTAACATTGCCCGCATTCGTGAGCGCATGGCCAGATTTCTCAAAGACCAAGTAGCGACCTTCAGTTAGGTAACCTACTACCTCTTTGTACCCTTCCTCGAACCACAGGGCATCGGTGACGTTACTTTGCTGGCCATATGGTACGGGAGGTCTCTGGGTTGGATGGCTAGCTTGGCAGTTGGACGATCCAACGTACTTACCCAGGAGCGTGGCCGGCTCCTCTGCATCTGGCAAAGTGGGCAGGCTGGTATCAGGCTGATGGCAGAAGCGTTAGACTGCATCCTGTCGATATGAAAGGGGAGCTCTCTACATACGTGGTCCAGGTCCAACGCGCTCACGAGGTCTGACATGTGTTCTCGGCGCCACTGCACCATTTCCGGAGTTTCAACGTTTTCATATCCTCTGGCCTTTAACCATTGCTCGATGAAAAGGATCTGTGAGTTATGATCCGCGTGCTCAGTGAAGACGCGGTTGCCCCGTGTCCAGGGAGAAATCATATAGAAAGGAACTCTTAAGCCTATAGGCCACCTGGTATCAGCACAATGGTTATCTCTTTGCCAGAGTTGCAGAGCTCACCTGGTCCAACATAAATCTTTCCGAATTTTCCGTAGGGGTCTGTCATCCAGTCACCCGGGGTATCCTCAGGGGAGTGGAAAGGGACAACGTGATCCCCAAAACCACCCGTTTCTAAAAGTCGTCAGTCAGCGCTTGAACAGGCTTTTGTAATAGGCCATCCTTACCATCATAACTGATTATTAGCAGAGTTGACGAGTACTTGGGGCTTTTTGTCACGGCATCGACCACCTTTTTCTGAAGCCAGGCACCGTCCTTTGGCATGTAGGGTGGATGTTCTGACAATTCGGCTGGGCCGACGATGAAGCTGACTTCCGGGAGACTCCCATTAGCAGCGGCCTTGTAGAATGCGTCGAGACCCAGGTATGACAGGCCCTTTTCGGCTAGCGGTGATGATGCAGATGCATTTTGGTACTGCTGGAACCAAGCCAAAGGGTTATCATCAAAGTTATTCTTCTCCTGGTACACTTGCCACGAGACCCCAGCCTCTTCGTAAACCTCAAAGATGGTTTTCCATTTAAGAGGATAGCAGTTGATGTTGTCCGTATCGCACCCAGGCGTTTCGTTGTTGTCTATGTAAGGGCCCCCTTGGTCCGACGTCTGGGGGCTTCCTGGGATATTAACAGAACCGCTCACCAAGGTGACGCGATTGGGGTTAGTAGATGTGATCTGCGACTCTTGGTACATATCTCCAGCAGTCCAGCCCTCCGCAATGTCCAATTGAACCGGGATATCATTTCGCTTGAGATAACCCCAGCTCCAGGGGGTGTTGTTCCGCGCCCAGTTGTTGTTCAAGTCATGGTTGAGGGATGCTTGGTTGTCCTCATAGCCGTTGCTTCCTGCTACCATACATTGAATGGCATCATTCCAGTCTCCTCCCTTGTACCCCAGATACCACGGGAGAAGGGTCTTTGTATCTTCGGACATGGAGGAGTCCACCTTTCTATAAACGCAACTGTGAGTTAGCCATTATTCATAGCTTATAATTGTTCGTGTGTTCTCAAAACTGACTGATACCAGACGGATAAACCATCGTCATTTACTTGTACGTTGGGGTCATTGAAGCCTCGAACACCTGCCATAGTACCAAAGTACTGCGCAAGAGATTAGTCAATGGTCCTGCGGGAGCAGATTCTAAAACCTAGACAGCACATACGTTATTCCAGCTTCGATTTTCTTGCATGAAGATAACCACATGGTCAATGTCTTTCAAGGAACCAGCACGAGTAGGCCTGCTCCCAAGGAGCATGGCCAAGGCCACACCCAAGAGCATCGACATAATGGTGTGCTATCTTGAGCACGAGCAGAGAGAGCGTCGAGTTGATCCAGAGACTCGACCCAGCAACATCTTGGTAATGGCCAATAAATATACCCTTGAAGGTTACATACGCGCCTGTCGGCACCTGCCGATGCAACAAGCATTGGCAGCATTAGTCAAGGAAACAATCAGAGGAAACGTGATGCACGTTGTAGATCGGATTTGACGAGCCATTGACATGCCGCATAATCGCCATTGGTAAGTTTCATGATGTCGGAAATTATAACCCACCCGATATCCAAGCTTTCCGACTAGACCGTGACACAGTTGCAATGGGAATGCAAGATGATGCGGAGTTGCTGTTTAGCATTCGTTGGTCTCCTCGGTTAGAACATTGAGATAGGCACGTGTTGCATTCGGTTGGATGATTGAACATCAACCAATGGAGTACGATGGGGCCACCCGCAAGATATGACAAGATAATTTAATTTGCCGCGAGCTTTAGTGCCTGACGATCTATTGTTCTTGACCCCCAACACTTTCTGAGTAATCCGTCAATTGACAAGCAATACAGGTCTAGCCAATGCTGACCCGAGGACTAAGCGATTGTTCATACGACTTGACCATATACCAAAGAACTAGGGTATCAAGCTATCTCATGAAGTTGAATCGATCAAGGGAGAAATGTGCTGAAAATGGAACTTCTAGAAAAATAATGAAGGATTTATTAGTTATTATTATTATTATTCAACGGGGTCATCGGCAGCTGTTACCAATATCTCTGATTCAGTCATCTGATACTTGAACCATGATTCTTATTATAATTTATTTATTTGGTGTGTCACGATTTGTACTAAGAGACATACTCCGCACAGATTATATGAGGGATCTACATATTTTATGTAACGTTCCCTTCACTTTCCCCACTATTGGAAGCGAACCATGCAATATAATGTGCTGACCATTTAAGAAAAGGCTATTCAGAAGCCAAGTGACCCTAATGAGAAAAAAAAGTACTGAGCAGACAATGGAGAGAAAGCCCAGTCGCCGAAAATCGAGAACCCCGAAGATCACAGAACGGAATGAATCGGACACTGGCTCTCAAAATGCGTCTGCCGGAAGAACAACAAAATATTGGCCCTGCAGCATCGTGATTTGTCCACTGATTTTATGCATCCTCACTGCATTGCTTTTCCTCGAACAGTTCACCACACCAGATTCATTGCGCTTCGTACTAGCCTCCCCTAAGATTCACCATGGTGAAACGCTACATTCCCAAGTGCACAACCCTGACTTAGCTCGCCCGAGCATAGAGCTTCATCCAGAGGACCACGTATATCGGGGACCAGTGACACAACACCTTGACTGGGTAGTCACTGATGATTACCTTCGCCCAGATGGGGTGCTGAAGCAGGTCTACCTTGTCAACGGTAAGATCTTTGTTCCATTGAATATCAGCTATAGTAGAGTACGTACGTTGATCACAATACGAAGGATAGGTATATTCCCGGGTCCAACTCTTGAGGCCCGTTCTGGAGATACACTTATAATAAATGTCACAAATGCACTACAAGGGGAACCAATCTCTGTCCACTGGCATGGGCTTCATGTTCAGAGTAAGTCATTCTTCTCAACATATGCCTAGCATGATCATAAGACTGGCATTCTAGATACAATGGATGGGGTTCCTGGAGTGACACAAAATGCCATCTCACCCGGATCGACCTTCATGTACAACCTGACTATTCCCCATGACCAAAGCGGCACCTTTTGGTATCATGGCCATACTGGAACCTCGAGGGCGGATGGCCTATACGGCGGCTTTGTTGTGCATGCGCCTTCTTCCAGGCCTACTGTTCGCGGACTCATGACCCGTGACAGCGCCGAGTCCCTGGAGTACGGTTACGAAAGAGAGTTTCTACTTCTGATTGGGGATTGGTACCATCAACCTGGCGATCAAGTCTTGGCCTGGTACATGAGCATCGCATCTTTCGGAAATGAAGTATGTTCTTAGCATTCATCTCACCATGCGAATCAGCACTAATACAGTGTAGCCAGTGCCTGACTCGCTGTTAATCAACGGGGCGGGCAGCTTCGACTGCTCTATGGCTGTGCCTGCTCGACCCTTGGATTGCATTGAACAGCAGATCAACCTCTCGTATCTCTCAGATATAGCCACAGCCTATAGATTGCGCGTCGTCAACACCGGGTACCACTACCCCCCACCCTTCAAAAGTAACTAAAAACTAATACCACCATAGCTCCTTAGCAGGATTTACTCTATCATTCGAAAACAAACCCCTAACCCTGATCCAAGTAGACAGCACCGCCGTCGAACCCCAAGAAGCCCCATCAGCAGGAATCCTCTACCCTGGCCAACGCATGGACCTCATCCTCCAACCTTCAAAAGGAGAACTAACATCTCTAACAATTCACCTAGACCAAGAGTACGTCCACCAACCTCAACCTCAATCCCAAACCAAACCAATCCTAACAACACAATAAAACCAGCTGCTTCAACTATCCAAACATAGCCCTAACCCCAACCCAAACATTCCCAATAACACCCTCCCACTTCCCATTACTCCCCCAATCCCTCCCAAAAGACACCCTAGACCTCCACAACACGCCCTCAAAACCGTCACTCCTCTCAAACATACCCACGAACCCCACCCAAACACAGGTAATCTACACCAAAATTCAAAAATTAAGCATAAACCACAACATCCCGAACGGCTTTTTCAACCGCACCTCATGGCGTCCGCAAACAGGTTCCCCACTCAATAGCCTCCCGCGGGATAAATGGGACGATAACCAATTCTCGTTGGCCGTACCTGATTCCGAATGGGTTGATGTGGTGGTGAATAATCTAGATGAGGGAGGGCATCCGTTCCATCTGGTGAGTAGTGTTTTCTTTTTCTTCATCCTCGCCTTTGTTACGAATGATGCTAATGAAATGTCTTAGCACGGCCACCACTTCTATATCCTTAGGGTTTATGAGGCACCTATCGGCTGGGGCTCGTATAATCCTTTTGTGGATTCGGTTCCGCCGGGGTTGGAGTCCGAGTCCGGGTATGATCTCTCTCGTGCGATGCTCCGGGATACGGTGTATATTCCCAGTCGGGGTTATGCAGTTTTGCGGTTCCGGGCAGATAATCCGGGGGTGTGGCTGTTCCACTGTCATATTGTTTGGCATTTGGCGAGTGGGATGGCGATGTTGGTTGACGTTGGAGAGTATAGTAGCTACCAGTAGTTGAAGATGTTTGATATGAGGTAAACCTTCATGGTGTCCTGGTAGATTATATCCCATGGTTGGTATTATTGTTGTTCAAGTATTTCAATTTAGGATTTAAAACGTGAAGATGCTTGTAAACGTTCAATGCTGAACGATGCTATTAGGTATGCTCCCTGTAACCAATATACCCGTTCCGAGGTACCCTTACCCACCCATTTGAAACTGATTTCGCCAATCTAGTAAAGCAAGAAGCAGCCGCCAATAATACATAGTAAGAAAGTAAAGAGCATTTTGAACGCCAGCCACCGGGTCGTAAAAGCAATTGTAGTCAATCTCGTATCACAGAGACAAGCTTAGGCCGAGGCGGAAGCCCATTCCACCACTTCCATGGCACACATAACAAGAATTAAAGTAGAAGGAAGAATCCTGTAAAGGTCAGTACATAACCATTTTGTTAGCCTCAAAGGTGACGTACCAAACAACGTAGCTCTGGAACAACAATTTGGACATAGCGCCCACGTATACGTTGTTGATTTGGCAAATCTGAGCCAACTGAAGCGCGGATGGAGCGCCAGTGAGAAGAAAACAGACGATAACGAAGATCGGATCATCCAGTATGCTGACAGGGACATATTTTGCCAGGAGGGCTAGCATTGGAGCCATGATCAAGGTCGGAAGAAGCATACGCGCCACCAAAGAAGCAATGATCAGCTTCTTCTCCTCCTTAGGGTGTTCCATATCCTGCTGCGCGTCTTCAGGTAGAGTATTGCGTTCCAGATTGGCACCAAGGACCACAAGAATCAATGGCACAGCAACCTGACCATTTTGTTGGATTGCCCGAGTCACGGAATTCTGCACGAATGTGCCCTCGTCGAAGAATACACGCTGGAGCGAGGGCACGGACGCCACGATGATAGACACAAGCATTGCCCAAAGTGGAGGGTTCATGAATTGCCAGAGGCCGCAGAAGAATCTCCGGACCCCGTTCACAATGCCCGATAGTACTTTCTGGAGGAACTTCGGCAGGCGTTGGAACAAGGCTCCTGACTGTCTTTCCCAAGTATTGGTTACGCGACCACCAAAGCGACCTACAGAGGTTCTAAAGCGGAAGCCTAGCCCGGCCTTTCCGGGGTCGCCACCCGACGCTTCAACGCTCGGGAAGCATAAAATATCACCCTCGGTGCTTTGTCGGGGGAGGAATGGCCCCTGTGGAGGAGGTCCAAGTAGGGCCGGATTGTCGGTGTCCTGCGTAGACAGCTTTGTGTACGAGTAGGCGCGTACCAATACTGGCGTCTGCTCACCGGAGCGGAATACCTCGGACTCGTCATTTGAGTCATTCGGGGAACCCTCAGCAGATGCGGTTCTGATCAAAGGCTCATCGGGATCCGCTTGTTCTGGGTTGTCACTGTATCGTTCCTGGCCTTGTTCGACACTCGTTGTACCCTGCTCCCTTTCTCCCTCCTCTAGATACCGCTCTCGGGGGGCAAGAAGAACGTGGTAACCCCAGCTCCAGCGTACGAGCTGGCCCAGCTGCTGAAAGATGAGCAGGTAAAGAATCCCTCGCGCCGCTACTTCATCGTCATTATCATTGGGTACCCTATCCCAATGGAGACCTTTCAAGGTCTGTGAGAGCGACATGACGAGGGAAATCGGAAGTGAATTTGAGTTTCCGAAGACCTATTGATGAAAGATGTTAGCGTGATGATTACATGCAACGCTCGCGTTCAACATGAATTAACGTACCGCCATAGCCGTGACAAAATTGGCCGGCCGTTTCTTGAAGCCACAACATTTCGACACGGTGAGTGCACAGATATAAGAGACCAAAGTTTGGACGACAAAGATCGCCGGAATAATGGCTAGATCAATAAGCTTCTCTGCCGTGAGTTGGGACCCCAGTTTCGTGAAAACTACGGTCCAGAAAGATCAGTTATAGCCAGGTTAACCACAAGGATCATATACATACTCAGACACGGGGTAAATAGGGTGACGTTAAGGTTGGCGACCAACTTCTGGGCGTCCGCATCGAACAGGCCTTGTCTAGCGGCGATGTAACCGGGCAAGCTGACGCAAACGACTTCTAGGACTGCTTCAAAGACCAGAAGAATCAAGTGCGAGAAGGACGGATGGCTTGAGTGGGGAACATATCCGAGAATGGACGGCGAGACGCCTATCTGGTGTTGGGTCAGGAGCTGGCGAGGAACGAGAGATTGCGCATTCTGAAACGACGTGGGAGCAGTAAAAATGGCCATCGAACGGAGGAATAATAAGTGTTGACTTGTGTGTCGAATGTGAGCGGAGGAATTTTCGTGATGAGTCTGGAGTGACGTACTAGATACGGGAGATTCGGTAGTTGAGGAGCTTAAAAATTTAAGGTTGCAGCTCTAAGCAAAGGGGGTAGGCGGAAGCTCAGGGCGAAATATGAGGAGCAGCAAACCAGGGAGAGAAGCGGAGGAATTTGAATATCTAGAAAGAACATTGAAGCTACTAATGTACTACCGAATGTTAAGAGACACCCGTGCCTGGGAGTGGCAGTGTTTTGCAACCTGGGGAACCTTTTAATTTTTTTTTCTTTTTTGCAGCTTTGGTGATTCCACCCGGAACAAGCAAGGTGACAACGATGTCCCATTCACTCTTTTGATTGGGCGATAACAAGACGATCGATCGCTGGGGTAAAAACACGCCAAGACCTCTAGAGTATTTCATGATCTCGTCATTGTTCGCATCCCTCCTTGTTTCTTTGTCCTCCTAGTGTAAAATAAAAATGAGTGCCTTTGCGTCAAAGAAACTGGAGTTGTGCTTACAAGGTCCCTTAAGATACCCTACCTTCTGCCACAAAAGGATGTACTTCTGTAGACTGTGACACAAAAGGTACTCAAAAAGAAAAAGGAAAAACATGGAACTCCGTCTTGGCACCAAGAACTTCCAAGAGGCCACAGCCACCGTCGTTCTGACTCCAGATCATATTCTGCATTCCAAAACGCTAAACGAGGTCTACCGCCAAGAGAGATTGTTTCATTGCCAGCTCTCCTTGCGTCAGCCACTCTTGAAGATTCCTTATCTCAATTTCACCATTGTTGCTCATTGACTGATAACCAGAGTGGTGTCGCGCCATTGCAGAAGAAAAGAATAAAAATAAATAAATACAGAATGTCGCATCACCTTGAACATTACATACAATGGAGTCGTTTTATTTTGTCCCTTTTGAACCCATATTTGCAACTCCACAGCTACAGTACATGAGGTTTTTGTAGAGTGGAATCTAGGGCCCATTCTCGGCAATTATCGAAGCCGAATTCACTAGGGGAAACGATTAATCCAACGATGAACATTCAAGTTCCATGAGTTCAAGATGAAATGAGGTGATGTATTCTTCCTCCACCTCCACCAGTCAGCAACTGGTTTGTTGCCTTATCGCACGCCTTGTCCCATGGTTCCCCAATTGGCCTTCTGGGGATTTCCAACGCCGCAGCTAGTAAGATAAGCAGCTGAAGTGCACTTTGAAGATGTGATGAAGCCATGATCACAGCTTCTGAAACATTTGTTCTCCGCCAATCATCCCCAGATTACGACAAATGACGCCGCTCCGCCTCGATGACGCCACAGTGGACACATCGAAGCCCGGGGATCGGCGTCAACAAATATCGTACTTTTGCTGACCAAGAGAAATGTTTATTTGGCGGGCCGCAGTAGCTTACTGGGTACTTGACTGACTTAAAAGATCGTGGCATTAACCCGGAGTCGTGAGCAATATCAGTCAATGGACTAGGGTTAAGCCTCCATTTGACCAGAATAGCACAACTTGCCGACAGTAGCGGTTCCGACCACGGACGGATATCATTCCCTTTCGCCTCCGGAGGACTACCCATGGATCTTGAACAGGCGACAACCTTCGAGTACCGTATATTACCATCTATACCGTAGTTCGCAGCGCTTGTGGTCTGATCACTTTCGCCGTCGAAAGAAGCATTGGGAATAGTTCAAGCTCATGGACAGCCCCATTAGCCCGGGGAGATTACCAAAGTATCTCGAAAAACTATCATACTCCCAGGAATTGGCCAAATAGACTTTCGGCCCATTTTGGGGCTTTCCCGTTGGATGGTCGTTTAGTGACACAGATATGGATTTAACAGTCGGGAGCACGGTGGTTAACAATCCGACATCAGAATTTCTAGGCTACTTGATGAGTCACTTTCGGGCACTGCTGTACTAAATTATTCGCCGATTGCCTGCCTTAATGCGCAGCTCATTCTTTACTTCAATTAAGGAGAAGCCTCGGAGATCCATTAAATGTAGGCAATATTGTTTGCCTATGTTCAATGCCGGAACCACGGTGAGTATAATTAGACTGTCATTCTCTATGGATAGTACGCTATTATATGAAACTTGTTGTGACTGTCAATCATTGATACTGCATTTTTGACAATTCCCATTTACGCCACGTGATATGGTCGTAGATCAGGAAAGGAGTATGACAACCAACTTGGATCATTCGACGACACGTGGAAGGGGCAGCCTTGGCCAGGAATTGAAGGCGATATAGAAATGAATGATATCATTGCAAAAGTATAACTATCTGCTTGCAGGGGTATCGGGAGTTAGCAGATATACTGAAGATGAGAAAGAATATACTGTGAGTAGCATAATGTAGGATGCCTCTCCTACTCTGTACATCGGTACGGAACTCAGGTATATTCATACATACATATAATACATATCGAGTGGATTGAATCCAGAAAACGTTGAAACCCACAACCTTAAATCAGGAAGTGTATCAGATCCTATTGGGTTGATGGTGGCCCGTCCAATCATATTTAGGCGTTCGGCACGTACCTGAGTGACCGCACGTGCCAGAACAGTGTGTAGACACTGTAGAATGTATATTAAAATACTACTAGTAAAGGTATCGGTAGACGATGTGATGTAGATCATCAATATATGGATGACCTCACTCTCGGCAGAGAACGTTGGCAACAGTGTGGGGGTTTTAGAAGGAAGAGTCTTACTTTTGGGATCTGTTGGGCAAATCTCATCGGTTACACAAGGGATATTATCTGTTGAAATATTTTGGTTTCTTTTGTTCGAAGCGCTGCCTGACTTCGCCACATGTATGTTCGCTTAGGCTACTGCGATATTCTTCTTCTCCCTCTTCTGTTTTTGTATTTACTACGGAAGTGTTGAATCTCGTTCCGTATCAGCTGACGGCCCGTCCTTCTATCGTTTCCGCCTTGTATCAAGATTGCGTAAAATGAAGTTCTGACCTGCCCGAAATGTGCAGCACATCCACTCGGCGAACTATCGGGCGTGCGAAGTGGCAAAATTTAATTTATTCTCTCATGGTCAGGCCGACATAAAGTTGCTCGCCACAAGTTCAACCCGTGGAAGTTTTGCGTTCTTAGTGCGTGCGTCCGTTTAAAAATTACTACAATGGCATGTCCGCCGATCATTGGCAAAAATAAAAGACCCTTGTAAGGATAGCTGTGAGGTAGTACTTGAACTGGAAAAGGAAAAAGAAAAAGAGAAGAAAAGGAATAAAAGGGTTCCCTGCGCCTACGGCGAACTACATACTAGTATTATATTGCCTGACATTGTCCATTGGCTGGACTACGTCCCTTAGCAGCGAACGAAAACAGGGAAGAGAGCGGGAAACTACGCTTACGGAGTATACCGTCGTAGGTAAGATACTATTTTCTTTCTTGCTTCTTTTCTCATTTTCGTTTTTTTTTTTTTTTTTTTTTTTTTTTTAATTTTCCACTCCCTTGATGTTCCGCTGCCAAAACCAGATATTCGCCTCTCACTTCCCCATCTGTCTGCCATTCGAACTTCTCCGTACTCTTGCTCCCCACCCTTCAGTCTAGTCTCTATTTCCCACTCGTTCCCATTCTTAATTTATGCCCTCTCTATCTCCTCTATAATATTTTTGTTGTTGACAAGCTCGAGCTAAGCAGTGTTGGAAGACCCATTTTTTTCTCTTTCTTTTCTTTTCTTTTCTTCTTGTTCTTTTTTTTCCCCCGAACGGTTAGGTGTTGTGCTTCAGTATACTCTATCTCGTTATCTATCCTTCCTCCTCCGGGAATGGCTTGAATCGTGCCCCGCGTTGAGAACAAACCTTCATCTCCAGCCGTCCTGCGAAACGTTTCTGCCTTTCCACTATTAAATCACCCTTTTCTCCTCGAGATCGGGCCATCCACGACAAAGACGCACTGGATCCCACTACCTCACGAATTCCGACCGTTACGATATTTTTGTCACGTCCTTTCATGACTGACATCGCGTGGGTTTGCGACACCGCTTGAAGCCATTGGAGACGGCATTTTGAACATTGTGCCCTGAGTTCAGTCACAAAATTTCTCGTACGCTAATCTAGCACAATGGCATCTGAAATCGACCCTGTAGCGGGGATTTCACCTTCGAGGGACTTGGACAACACGTCCGATGCTACCGACGACGACCTCTCCCCCTCCGTGACCACTCCCCCAGCGTCAGTGCCCTCTTTGCGCCCGACTGATAAAATCCCCGGCATTACCGCATCGTCGACACACTTGGGCCAGATCAGTGCGGCTCGAAGAGGTGTGGGGACACCTCCGCGTCCACAGGCCTCCATGAGCGGTGCGTCGCAAGGGGGCTTAAACCAGGATATTTTGGCGAAAATGAAGGCATTCTCTCTTTCTCGGCAAGGCGCGCCCCCAACTTTGTCCCATGCGGCTTCAACCGGAACTGTACCCAAGACCCCTCGCCCGGGTGTGTCCCCAGCCGGTTTGTCGAGCCCAGGGGGCCAATCCCCTCCAGTTGTTAATGGTCCTTTGGCGGGATCTCTCGCCGGTCGACTGCCCCCGGTAGCTCGCCCGAACACCAAAAACTGGGTGTCGTCTCCATCAATTCCCGGCTCATCACCGAGTCCCAGTTCCGCCAAACCGGGTGGCCTCGCTGCGAAACGGATGAAACCTGGGCTCAAGCTATCCGATGCCACCGGCACCAATGGCACTGCTGGAAATCAGTCTCCTGCCAACGGAACTGAAGGAACCGGCGAGACTGCGTTTAGTAAATATTCTGAGTTCATTGATACTAAATCGGGGACACTGAACTTCAAAAATAAGGCAATTCTGCATGGCGGCGGAATTGAGTTCTCATCTGGGCATAAGTTCAGCATTTCCCTGGACGAAGTTGATCGTCTTGAGGAATTGGGTAAGGGCAACTATGGAACAGTATACAAGGTTCGACATAGTCGGCCGCATATGCGAAAGCCCGGTATGGGTTTAAGAGGCATTGTCAGTCGCCCGACAGGGCCCGAAGCGTCTGCATCCGACGGGCTCAAGGATAATCTTACTGGGGTCATCATGGCCATGAAAGAGATCCGCTTGGAGCTAGATGAGAACAAGTTCGCTCAAATTATCATGGAGTTGGAAATTCTTCATCGCTGCGTCTCGCCCTTCATCATTGATTTCTACGGTGCCTTCTTCCAGGAGGGAGCAGTCTACATCTGCGTTGAGTATATGGATGGCGGGTCGATTGACAAAATCTACAAGGATGGCGTCCCGGAGAATATCCTCCGGAAAATGGCCTTATCTACTGTCATGGGACTGAAAACACTCAAAGATGATCACAACATCATTCATCGTGACGTTAAACCCACAAATATTCTGGTCAACTCGCGAGGACAGATCAAGATCTGTGATTTTGGAGTCAGTGGAAATCTGGTTGCCAGTATTGCCAAGACAAACATTGGTTGTCAAAGCTACATGGCTCCAGAGCGAATCGCTGGCGGTGGTGTTCAGCAATCCGGAGCGAGCGGTGGCGGGACCTACAGTGTTCAAAGTGACATCTGGAGTTTAGGATTGACCATTATTGAATGTGCCATTGGCCGATATCCATATCCTCCTGAGACTTTCAACAATATCTTCAGTCAACTGCACGTGAGTATATCCTTTACTACTTTGTCCCTGTCCTTTTAAAGGCACTTCGATAGCTAATTCTTATCGACTAGGCTATTGTTCACGGGGAGCCACCAACACTTCCGGAGTCTGGGTATTCTGACGAAGCGCATTCCTTTGTCCGTGCTTGTCTAGACAAAAACCCCAAAAATCGTCCGTCGTACAGTATGTTGCTCCGACATCCCTGGATTGCGCCCCTTATGCGCCCCCCGGAGGAGTCGGACGGTGATGATATGACGTCTGCCCCTTCGGCCGGAGTTACCCATTCCTCTGTCACTGAAGATAAGGAGGTCGCCGACTGGGTTAAAGAGATGCTGGAGCGTCGCAACAATGGCCTTCTGCACGATTCCAATAAGCCGGCACTACATGCTGTCGCCCTGGATGCTGTTCCAGGCAGCCCTCTTCTTGATGATCCTTCCTCAATTTCCTTACAACCTTGATGAAACACAGAGCTTAGGCTTAGAACTTAGGCTTAGATATTTTTTCCCTTGGCATATACCTGCATATATCCCGTGCTGCCTTGGGTTCCTGGTTAACGGGCGGATGGGAAGTGCACAGATAAGCTGAAGACTTACTGGCGCAGGCGCCTCCTGCCGAAAGCTCTCCGGTATAAGGGCCATGCGCGACGACATGGGTCCTATATTAGCTTCGGCTTTGTCTTTTCGGGAGCTTGCAGCATGTATGAGCCAACCTACTCTTTCTAGTGATGTCGTCATAGTATCTTGGAATTTCTCATGTATTATGAATTAAGACGTGATTTAACGCCATGGCTTTTATTATAACGACTATCTAGGAGCAAATCTTCCACCAGTGTTAGTTATCTGACTCTGATGTTATGTAATTAGCATTGTATAACAATAAAACCAGCCTCAGTTGTTTTCGGTCCCTTTCTTTGAATTAATAAGTGATAATTCGTGATATTAGTTATTTAGTTAACTAGTTAGTTACGAAGTCTGGCTGCTTAGCAATCAGCTGAATCACGTGTAGCATCGTCCGGCCTCGAGCAATGATAATGAAACCCCGACCTCGGCGTTTGGGAGTAATTTATTCGGCGTTTGGAGAGAAGTTTTTGATCCTTGACCTTCTTCAAGAGTAAAAATTTGACTGAACAAGAGAGCTTCTTGGGGCGCAATTGGATGCAAAATTGAAATTCTAGTCATATATTACGAATTGGTAGGTGCCGCTGTGACTCGACGTCATGCACAATCGAATCCGTCACTGACCGAAGGATGGAAGCTTTTCGCGGCTGGATTCCCCGCCAGACATAATTCCTGCAGTTCCTCCACCCCTCCTCCGCTTACTCTTCCAAACATAAAGCCTCCATGCTGCCCCGCTCTTGTTCCCGTTCCTTTCCAGTTCAGGCTTTCAAGAACCGGCTTCTTCGACCTGTGTCGTCCCCTTCGATCGCATTCCAGGTAATTGGAAGAAAAGCTATCTCTACAGCTACAAACCGGTGTGCTATTAGCAGAACTCCAACAAGAGCCGCTCTGGATTCTTCGTCGACCTCCACACCTTCAACTGCCGTCGGCACTCGTCTCGCTTTACTCAACCGACACTTTACGTCGACGTCCGCGACGCCCGACTCGAACAAGATGCCTCCCGTTGAGCCCCAGCAGTATGACTATATCGTTCTCGGAGGTGGTAGTGGTGGTAGCGGCAGTGGACGCAGAGCAGCCGGTTGGTATGGTGCAAAGACATTGATTGTGGAAAGTGGACGCTCGGGTGGAACTTGTGTCAATGTCGGGTAGGTTTATTGCCCCTGTCGCTGTGTCGGTGGTTTAAATGGGGATGTCTGACCGCGGTCTGCAGGTGTGTCCCGAAGAAGATGACCTGGAACTTTGCAACTGTCAACGAGACACTTCATGTTGCCGAGCACTACGGATACACCATTCCCAAGGATGTCAAAATCAACTACCGTCATTTCAAGGAGCTCCGGGACGCCACAGTCAAGCGGTTGAATGGCGCTTATGAACGGAACTGGGGACGTGAGGGTATCGATCTCGTACACGGCAGAGCCCGCTTTGTTGAGCCTAAGGTCATTGAGATTGCCAACAACGATGGCACCAAGGCACGCTACACTGCGCCTCACATCCTGATCGCCACCGGTGGACGTCCCAAGCTCCCGAATATCAAGGGAGCTGAGCACGGAATCACCAGCGATGGATTTTTCGAGATCGAAGAACTGCCCCCTAAGATCGCCGTTGTCGGCGCCGGATACATTGCTGTCGAGCTGGCGGGTGTCCTTGGAGCCGTTGGCGTTGACACCCACATGTTCATCCGTGGCGAGACCTTCCTTCGCAAGTTCGACCCCATGATCCAGAAGACCATGACTGAGCGGTACGAGGCTGCGGGCATCACCATCCACAAGGGCCACCCGGGCCTTAAGGAAGTGCAGCTTGTGCGGGACGGAAAGGGCAAGGACAAGCTTCTCAAGCTGATCTCGAATGATGGGTCGGAGATGGAGGTCAATGAGCTGCTGTGGGCTATCGGCCGTGCGCCCGAAGTTGAGGACCTGCATCTCGACATCCCAGGGGTTAAGTTGAACGACGCTGGGTTTGTTAACGTCGATGAGTACCAGAACTCAAGTGTCGACGGTATTTATGCTCTGGGCGACGTGACTGGACACGCCGAGCTGACTCCCGGTATGTCTACCACCCACCCTTTGACTTAACTGCGTTGGAATAATCACTGATGAAAACAGTTGCCATTGCCGCTGGCCGCCAACTTGGCAACCGTCTGTTCGGACCCCCGGAGCTGAAGGACTCCAAGCTTTCTTATGACAATATCCCAACCGTTGTGTTTTCCCACCCTGAAGTCGGTACCGTCGGTCTCACTGAGCCTGAGGCTCGTGAACGCTACGGTGACGACCAGATCAAGGTCTACTACACCAAGTTCACCGCGATGTACTACGACGTTGTGCCGCCGGAGGAGAAGAAGAAGAACCCCACTGAGTTCAAGCTTATCTGCGCTGGACCGGAAGAGAAGGTGGTCGGTCTGCACATTCTCGGACTCGGCGTTGGAGAGATGCTACAGGGATTCGGTGTGGCCGTCAAGATGGGCGCCACCAAGCGTGATTTCGACAGCTGCGTTGCGATCCACCCTACTAGTGCCGAGGAGTTGGTGACTTTGCGGTAAAGTGTATTGTATGTGAGTAGATAGACGGGTAGAGTTGTATAGGATAGATTATGATCTAGATTTAAAGGAAAACGTTTCAAAAGTTAAGTACTTCTGGTTTTTCCAGGGTGAGAACTACCACATGGTTTTGGGTGTCACAATAAATAATACATTTCATCAAGTATCATTCAGTAAAAGAACACTCCCAGGTCAGGAGATAATTGGGTTCCTTTTCTCCCTCCCTAGGATAGTAGTTTACAATTCACTTGGCCAAAGCACGGAATAGACTTTGTTCTCTGTAAAGAGACCCCTGGGCTGAAGACTATATACATTTAACACGCCTATTTTCGATCTTTAATGAAGAAACTTAACTTCTATGAATCTGGATCCTCAGTCCATGTCCATGATATGACACTGAGCCTCTACCATGTGTGGGCTACCAACAAAATTCTGTGAATATACCGCTGCAGCAAATGCGACACTCATTCAACCCCAAGACGGAACTGATAGATATGTCGCAGTGTCGAATATGCCAATACACGCCCGAATGTTCCTTGCTAATATTTCGGCAGTCCATATCGCGCTAGAGGGCAACAACACTCGTGTTACAGCTAGCAACTGCTTATTGTATTGGTGCATCAAGACATATAACACTACCGGGCACAAAAAGCTCACCAAAAGAAGAGCTGATTGATACCTGGTATAACCTGAGTACATCAGATATGCAGGAGCAGGCCTCTGGCCTTCCCTAAAGAGCAATGTTATGGATTCCGAGTCGCATGGATGGATGCATTACGATTGCGCTTTTGGCTGGCCTACAAACTACATAATAACGTCACTCTCGCATGTGATGGTAGATATCTTGATCACGAACTCTACGATTCGGAGTTTAGGAGGTCGATGATAGACTATGGCATACAGTGGCTGGTACTCTAAAACTGAGGTATCAGGAGCATGGCATTGACGGGCTTAGCAAACTTCAGCGGGCATACTAAGGGGGTTCTCTATCCTCGAAGTGGTCTATATTTTCAAGGTCTAATGTCATTGTGTGCCAGTGTGGTGCATGTCCTATTTTTAACATCAGTTGAGCTTAATATTCATCTTTTCAAGAGCGTCGATGTTCAAATGCACTTTTGGTCGTCTTTTGTTCCACAATAATAAGAAAAAAGAAAGAAGCACTGGGCCTCGATTGATTCACTCTGAGAACGATATGCTATCAATATGGGCACTTCGTAGTATCAATATTCATTCATATATTACTTAAAGGTACACTTCTACTCAACGAAAACAGTTTACCAGCAACAGGAAAACCCTTCTAAACTATACCCGAGGCTTTTAGAAACAACCATAAATAAATGCCGAGAAGCATCTCTGTAATGCCTAAAAAAAAAGAAAAAGAAAAAGAAAATAAAAGGGAAAAGACAGGGAAAGAAAAAATAAAATAAAAATAAGCCAGATATGTGGACAACTCAGACAATACTACGGAGTAGTCAAACCAAACAATCGGAGGCTGGGTATAAATACACTTTAGATCTAACCAACTTCTGATCGTATGACATAACTTCCCATGGAACAATATGTAACAGAAAGCTCACCATTGTCTTTGTCCGAACCTATATTTAAACATAGTCAACTACAGAATGAATTAAAGTAAATCCCTCAAAGACCCCACAGGACACAATAGAGCAGAATAGAGGGGATGTTCAGGAGGGACTTGGTGCCAAGATGGCCGTGTATATGGTTCACTATAAAAGTTTACGGGGACCAATTTTTGTGTAACTGGTTGGCGGTGTAAGGATATGTAAGTTTCTTTTTTCTTTTCTTTTCTTTTCTTTTCTTTTTCTTTTTCTTTTTTTTTTTTTTTTGAGGTGAATCTTGCTATAAAAGAAACCGAGACAACATATGGCGTATTCTGATGAACAGTTTGGAGGCTGCGGTTCGGGGCGCAGTTTGCTTTGTGTGTTTTTGTCTCACGATAACCTTATATATAATATTCTTGCTCTAGTAAATGGATGTTATGATACACTACGCTTAAGCTATTCGAGAGTAAATACGAGACATGTGCGATCAAGATAAGTAGGCTTGGATTGCTAAATGTGAATATATAGAGGAAGATGTAACGATCGGCTATGGTAGTATAAGTTTGGGTATAACGATAAGTTTTTTTGAGGAAAAGAAAGGAAAAAACAAAGGAGAAAGAAAAGTGACTTGTATCCACTCTATGCATATATATGTAAACATACATATTTCAATTTGCTCTGCGCGTATCCCCGACAAGTAATGCGACCAGGCAAGGTTGGCCTTAAGGCTGCCTTCGGCACAATCAAAACCAGGGGGATATAGGCGCAATATCCGATAATGTTCCAGACATGTCGGATCAAGTGCGTTGAGCATGGAGGTCAATCAATGTGTTGAAAGCTAACAATGTTGCAGGCTCCTTTCACTTGCGTCGCTGGAGCAACGAGGTCGATGTATTGTAGTTAAGACTCGATTGTTGTTATCCTCACACTTGGCTGTTCCTGCGGGTATAACAGGATGTTGTACGTTGTATGTCCTCAGATCGACAAAAAGTCCATGATACGTGGTGTACCGGAGTGACGCAGTTGGGCATTGAGCATCGTGCTCTGGAGCGTTGTCTCGGTGATGGCCGTGTCGAACCGCTCGAGGTGGGGCGGTGAGTGGTGGGCACATGTGGCTTGAGGGCTCGATCCCGGGCACCATGCTGGTCTATACTTTGTAGTTGCTTTGGGAAGCGGGACGATAGGTTTCATGGATGTGATGGTTGTTCTTTGTTCACTTCCGTATCCCGAATCAATTCACGTAGACCATGACAGCGAAGGAGATCAGGCAGAAACAGAGCGGAATGTAGACTTTCCGGTCCATATCTGGATCTGACGAGGCTGACGAGGCACCAGCAATGTAACGAGAAGTACTGGAGCGTGAGATCGATTTGGCGGATTTGTGAACCATATTCTGAAGTAGTTGTGGTGGTATGGAGATATGAAGAAAGAAGGAGAAAAAGGAGGCCAGTTCAAACGGCGGGAAAAGGAGGGGAAATTAACTGATGAATACTGAAAGTGTGGTACTCAACGTGGCGGCTGATGATCGCCCAACACGCCGGAGATCCTCAACAATCAATCAATCATCGATCTTGATTTCGTCACGGGTTGCGGGGAACCCTCACTTAGTCAGCCGAGGTTGGTTTTTGGTGGTTTGACCAAATCAGGCAGCAGAGCTTGCGGGAGGATCACGTGGACTCATACATAGTACGAGGAAGCTAAAGGTGGGAGGGTTCGACTCCCAGGGTCGGCGCCCCAGCTTTTCCATGACTCTTCGCTTGGGATCCGCCAAGGTATGTCCGTAGTAGTTGATTCGCAAGTCATACCATTTTTAATTTCCCTGCCTTGTTGCATTGCATGGCGTTTAAATTAATCTATATTGTTTCTTCAGGAATGTGAGGGGGAGGACCGATACTACATCACAAGACTAATAATCTCTTATCAATTCATGTAACTGTACACAAAACCGACCTTGTACACAGTAGTTAGCGTGAAGTATGGGGAAAGAAAAGTCATTTTGGAGTAACCCTAACTCGTCTTAACTATCTCATGATCTCATTTTTGTTTGTTTTGGTTTGTCATCTCATTTCTATTACGATTTCTATTTATTTATTTTCGATTTTTATTTTTTATTTATTACTATATATATATATATATATATATTTTAAAAAAACTCTTTCTGCCTGTCCTGCCTCAGACTAATCTGTGGTTCGGTCTTCACCATTGCATTTGCGGTGTGTGTGCGGTATCAGCGGGTCGCCCCCATTAGGAACAGTTACCAGTTGCGTTCAAGGCTGTGGAGTGTGGGCTTGAGATAGCTTCAAGCCATCAAAAGTTAGGACAGATTCAAGATTAGTATGATACCATTGTGCGGTGAGACATGTCTTTCTTGTTTTTGTTAGTTTCTTTCTTCGGCGGGTGAAATGCTGCCCAAGGAACAGTAGAACCCCCGTTTTGCTGGATTTGAGGAAATTCTCTCAGGCCGCGCCCGGTCGAGAGTCGGATATGGAAGGTGATCTGGAGCATCGGAACCAAAACTTGATTCCCTGATACAGGCTGCAGGAGAGGAAAGCAGGTACCCGTAGCCATGGCTCGGTCGGTCTCGTCCTTTCGACCTCTCTCATCGACCAACAATGGCGTATTCTGGGCTGCGACACTTCCAGTGACCCTTTAATGCTAATCAGTGCTGATCAACTTGCGTCGTCAGCCATTGAGCAGTTTCCCTTGACCTGCTGCCTGATGGATACAGTGGCAACAGGTTTTGCCTTGGCGCCACCGATACCTTTACCTTGGCTCAGGTTTTGAAGGGTTCTCCGAAAACGTCGCAGTTACCGAGGATCGATGATCTATATGCGGTAATAAGGTTGACTCTTCCGTGTATTTTCGTTTGTTTTCTTTTTTTATATTGGCAGTGAAACAAGCTGTCAAAGCAAAGAAAGGAACGTAACGTACTCTGTAGGCGAGACGACACGAGGTGGTTGGCGAATGTAACACTGCGCCGGCTAAAAGTGGGAGTGAGACACGGGACTTATTTTGACATACGTGCAGCTTTTAGCACACTTACTTAGTACTTACTACTTAGTCCTGTCGAACAAGAGAAGGTATCAGCACCACCCCCCTCCCCATGTACAGAGTAAGGAGGGAAAGTCAGACACTGAAAGGCATAAGCTTTTTTTTGCCTTTCCCTCTTCAAGCGCTCCGCTTGCAGTTTGTTGTGGTGCTGACCCCAGTTGACCATGCGCAATGAGAGGCAGGTTAGTGGAGAAACAAAGTGGTCCACTGTCCACGTCGCCCGGTGCATACGATTATACGCCTATCATTGAGAACCCTTTCCCCATTGCACGGCCCCCGCTGGATCAAAGTGGTTCTCTTATCCGGTCGCATTCGTTCAATCACATTGCCTGACCACACTCGGATCCATTATCGTGACTTGTGACTTTCTGGTCACTAGCTTTGGTCGGGCCCTTCGGACGAAGCGCCAAAGAAACTTCCCACACTCGATCCAGAGGAGACACCGTCGCTGCCGCCTCCAATGACGCTTCATCCTGTGGTTCCCTCGGCCGAACTATTGCTCAGGGCGGATGGCGCTATTCCACTCTTTGTTCTCCTGAGGGGGGATTTTGGAACCTTAGTAAACCCTTGCTTGGTGGTAGCTTCTCAGCTATAACTATAGTCCTCCCCTCCTCGTTCCTTAGCAACGAGGTCGTCATCTTGCCGTCTTTATTACCTGCAAGACGGGTCATTCTTTAGCATAGATCGTCGCGCCTGTGGGCCTGTTTTTCGTCAGAACCACTGTCATTGTCCCGACTTATTTAGACCCTTGCCCCGTCTCGACTACTCTCTTTGAGAAATTTGATTGCGCCTCGCATTCGTTTCTGGCAGAGCTGCGTTCGCTGGTCGCATTGACCTGTTCAGGCATCATGTATTTCAACTACGCTGCGGCTACACTGGCTGCATTGCTTCCGCTATGCTCAGCCCAGACCTACTCGAAGTGCAACCCTCTTCAGAGTATGTTTTTAGCCCCATCTGCCTTTCGTAGCAAACTGTTCCATAGTTCTCTGAGCTGACATGCAAAACCAGAATCTGGTTGCAAGCCCAACCCAGGTATGGGTTCCAACTTCAACTCCGACTTCACTACCGGGGGTCTCGGCGGCTGGATAACTACCGCCGGAAAGGTCCCCACTGGTGGCCAGGGCGCTGAGTTCACTCTGGCTAAGAAGGGCGATGCGCCCACCATTGACACCAGCGATTACTTCCTATTTGGTAAGGTCGAGGTTGTCATGAAGGCTGCGCCGGGAGTCGGTATTGTTAGCAGTATTGTCCTAGAGTCTGACGCCCTCGATGAGATCGACTGGGTATGTTGCTTCCTCCCCAACATGGTGTTGGGGTTATGTGTCCACCAAAAGGAATTCTCAACTGACCTTGATGCAATTCACAGGAAGCCGTCGGTGGCGACACCTATCATATTCAGACCAACTACTTCGGCAAGGGCGACACTTCGACCTATGACCGTTCAACTTTAGTGGATATGGCTCCTCCGCAGGCTGATTACCATACGTACACCATCGACTGGAACAAGGACCAGACCACCTGGTCCGTTGACGGCAATGTTGTGCGTACTCTCAACTACAACGACGCCAAGGGTGGTTCTCGCTACCCCCAGACCCCTATGCGCCTGAGACTGGGCATTTGGGCCGGTGGTGACCCCGACAATGGTCAGGGTACCATCGATTGGGCTGGTGGCATCACTGACTACAGCAAAGCCCCCTTCAACATGTATGTCAAGTCGGTTAACATTGTGAACTATACCCCCTCCGACTCCTACACCTACTCCGACACCAGTGGCTCTTGGCAGAGTGTCAAGACTTCAGGATCGGGCTCGTCCCCGGTGCCTCGCAGCACCTCCACCACCACGAACACCTCATCCACCTCTGAACCCGCGTCCTCGTCTGAACCCGCGACCGAGTCTAGCACCACTAGTAAAACCTCTTCTACTGGTTTCATTACCAGCACTACCAGCAGCACTACCGGCAGCACCACTGACTCCACCGAGTCCACCACTGGTACTACTACCGGCTCTTCCTCCTCGGAAGCCGGCTCCGGATCCACCACTGCCGAGTCTAGCTCGAGCACCGGTTCCTCCGGCGCTGGTGCGTCCACGACTGAGTCTTCTGCTCCGGGGTCTTCTTCCGATGCTGGATCTTCCACTGGCGGCGGATCTGCCTCTGGCTCGGCTTCTAGCTCGGCCGCTGGTGCCACTTCCACCGTTCCTCTCTCCAACTCCGCCACAACACCTTATGGTGGATCTTTCGTGGGCCTCATGACGGTCATGGGCTTGATGACTGCCATGTTGCAGCTGTGATTGGATCTGTTTTTGTTGTTTTTTGGTTTTCGTTTTACTGACCTAATGACCCCATGGCGGATTTTGTAATGGATGAGATTTTATGACGCTTTTGGGAGACCACGCTCCTTTTTATGACCTGCTGATTCATGTATCGTTAATTGTAGCCTTAGGTACATACACAACACACATGCTAGGAAGAAGAATCTTTTGATACTGGCTTATATTTAAGCTCGGGGGGATTCAGGCAATATCATTTCAAATTTATAAACGAGCTGTGTTATGCAAGTAACTGTATCCGCCACTTTTACGCTTACCATCTGTTTTTTGAAGGTAAACTATCACATTAACATAGGGTCGTATAGCGTTATTTCCAACCATCAAATCACTAACACCAAATATCAAGTCATATAACCAAATGAACAACAAGCAACGAAATGATGGCTCGTATCCAGAATCGTTTTCGAACTCCTAAGCTCCCACCTTATCGGGTATCGTTTCTTCATTCAGACACATCACATGAACATAACAGCTAGGCACGTCAATATGCCCTCTTCTTTTGTAAGGTTTGCAACTCTGAGGACAATCGTCGCACGGTATCAACAACGGGACGATGCTGCTCCGCAGCGTCTTGGAAGAGCTCGGATATCGACAAGTCCGGACGGATTAGGTCCTCTCCGTCTATTGCTGAACGGAAAAGTGAGGGTAATTTGTCAACGAATGCCCGAAGTCCACGGCCAGGAGACTCCACGACGGAGTCCGTCGTACCTGAAGATGCCGATGACAGTTTCATTTCGCGAACCAAGATGTTGCCAATAGATTCCAGGTGGTCATCTAGGGTGGCGAGATCGTTGGACAAAGAGTCCGCCTTGCTCTGCATGCGGGCAGTCAGCTGATCAAGATACTGTTCGCGCCACGACATTTGCGTTGATAGCCGGGCGCCCTGAGTGGCAGCTTGCGAGTCGCCTGCCGTTGCCCCGCCGGTCGCGATTAAATTGTCGACCGCAGAACGGATATCAACTTTGAGGGAATCGAATTTCTTGGTGGCGGCTCTGGTGGCTTCCCAGCAGCCGCTAAATTCGAGGTCGAGCTCGTGTTTCATGCCCGGGTACACCTTCTTTAGCTCCGTCTCGATGTCGCGGAGCTTCGATTCGCTTTGTTTCAGTGTGCCTGATAGCGGGGTCATTGCATGCAGAGTCGTGTTAAATAGGGATTCTAGCCGCGTCTGTGAGGATACGACGCTGTCGTAGCGGGATGCACCGCGACGGTTGGGTTGAGGCTGGGGATACGGTGGAATACAACTGGCCGGATATAGAGTGGAAATAGCTTCTATCGCGCAAAGGGTCTGATACTGCTGGACTACTTCGGGAATGATGAGCAAATGCGAAATGGCCACGACAAGTAGTACGTTTATTATGGTTCGAATCAAAGTTTGCACCGTTTTAGACCTTGACGCCGACTTTGGACGAGCGAGCTTCTCATCTACCTGACTAGAATTTGACCTTTGATCAGAAGAGTCACCGTCCCTGGACACATCCAGGTCACGTTTCTCTGTTCGCGGTGTGTTTCCACGCGCTGTTTTATGTCTGCGTCTAATAGAATGGGTGGTTTTTGATTTGGATCGCACAGCTGGCGCAACCCAGGAACCCTCTGCGATCGGCGTCTCATATATTGAAGGCATTATGAGCTCGGGTCCAGACATGGAGGAGGTCGACGTAGTCATCGAGTCGAATCCATTGTTACACTCATGTTGGCTGGCCTCTTGATTTAACTGACGGCTTTGACTTGGGCTTTCAAGAGGCTGGTTCTCATTCGGTCGCTCTTCCTTGTCGGGGGAAGATGATGCGACTACCCAAGACTCACCCAGGATCGAGCTATCCTGAGGACGAGGGGCGCCCGTAGACATAGGTGAAATAGGTGAAGGATGATTCTCAGTTGCTATATAGCTGACGTACTCACACTACTGAATCGTACCCCTGGGGAGTATAAAAGCTCTCAGGGTAAGTAAACAAAGGGACAGTAATTTTAGGATGAGCAGGAAGGACTGGAAAGACCCTTGCTTTTCGACGATAAGGTTTGTGTATATTGATTGTTGACGAACGATAAGAAGAGAAGTGGGGATGAATCACGAGTTCCTTTATTAAAGATCGGGCCGATCGGCAATCGCGTCGTGTTTCACGGGCAAGCTTCGAAAAATTCCTTGTACGATGATGATATCAACCGCCCAGCAACCATGCGCCGATTAAATCCTCTATTACGGCAGACCCTGCTCCTGCGGAAATCATGTCCCAGGACACGTTATACCCTCCGACAGCCGCGCTTGCAATGGCTGTCTACAACATCCACTCGACCCTGTTCATGCTCCGACCCGCAGCCTGAACAGTCGCCTTCTCAGTCGTCATCAACATCCGCCGACTATCGCGCACTGGGAACTGCACAAGACCTGTTCACCACCTCTATCTACAGTCCCGGATCACCCCTTTTCCTCCCCAATGGCACTCATGTCATCAACAAACTTGTTTCCTTCCTCCGCACGCAATACCTCCAATACGGTTTCCGCGAAGTCCTAACCCCGACCATCTACAAACGCTCTCTATGGGAGGTATCGGGACACTGGCAAAATTATAAAGATGACATGTACGAAGTACGAGGCCGAGGAGCCATGGGAGATACTGAAGGAGAGGCCGGAGAGGACGAATCATACGGACTGAAACCGATGAATTGCCCCGGTCATTGTTTGTTATTCAAATCGCAAAACCACTCGTATCGAGAACTACCCATCCGCTACGCCGATTTCAGCCCGCTACATCGGAATGAGGTTTCGGGTTCTTTAAGTGGACTCACTCGGGTTCGACGCTTCCACCAGGACGACGGACATATTTTCTGCCGACCGCAACAAATTAAGAGCGAGATCGCTTCTGCGCTTGGATTCGTAGATATGGTTATGACTACTTTCGGGCTGGGACCGTATCGACTGGTACTTTCTACGCGACCGGAGAAGGACTTCATTGGTAGTCTGGAATTGTGGGACAGCGCGGAATCACAGCTTCGCGAAGCTCTTGATAACAGCGGAAGAGAATGGGCAATCAATGAGGGTGACGGTGCATTTTATGGCCCGAAGATCGATATTCAGCTCCAGGATCAAGCCGGAAAATATCACCAGCTCTCGACTATTCAGCTAGACATGAATCTACCACAGCGTTTCGGGTTGGAATATCAGGTGGCTGAGGGTGAGGAGGACTACAATCCAGCAACCCCTGGAAGGGCAACGCCCGTGCTGGTTCATCGAGCGAACTTTGGCTCTATAGAGCGGTTCCTTGCGCTACTCATTGAGCAATACGCCGGTCGCTGGCCATTCTGGCTGTCTCCGCGGCAGGGAATCGTCCTGACGGTCAACCAGGATAAGAATGTTCTACAACAGGCGCATGAGGCTGCGGCTAAGATATCGGGATTCCGTGCGCTTGGGCCTGGTCAGAATGGCAACAATGCTCCACAGCCTCTCTCCTTTGTCGACTCGACATTCTTGATTGACGTGGACGATAGCCCTCAGACGCTAGGAAAGAAGATCCAAAGGGCCAAACAGATGAAGTACAATTTTATCTTCATCGTTGGACCCAAGGATGTTGCTGAGTCGCGCGTCACAGCGGATATTACTGGTCAACTGCAGAGCAAACCGGACGGAAATGCGCAGAAACTGCAGGACATGCTGATTAGCCGGCTTGGAGAGAAGGCGGTTCAAAACCCCCGGGCAGTGCCATTAAAGGTTGACGAGGTGCACGATCTCCTGGTGCAGTTGGAGAAGAGATTTGTATAATAAGTATGAAGCGTATAGAAAGACCTTGCATCATGTACAATATGATTTCGTATTAAATTTGGGAAGCCAGAGAAGACGGCCCGGGTTAAGAGATTCCAATGATGATGATTGACATTAACACCGGAAGCGGTTAGATTCCTCAGCTTTAAGGCCCGGAAACTCCACCGTGATCACCTTGTTCATGGTGTCATCTGACCTTAAGCTTATTATTCTTAGGAAGAATGGAAGTCTCTCAAAAAGTCGCCACAAACCAGACCCTCATTTGTGCCTCTGATTCGTCAACCATCGTCAAACCTGCCCTGGAGACACCGTCATTACCTTCTTTTTCTGGCATCATCGCCATGGACCTTTTTTTTTAGGTGAAAAGGAATCCAGAGAAGCTTTTTTTTCCTAACCACGCCAGCCCCACGACTAGACTCTTTCTCGCCCGAAAATCCTCCTGGTTGGAGAAAATTGCCCCCTTTGGTCGTGTCTCTCATTCGCCTTCCCAACACCCCCACTCTTTGCTCCCCTCCCCCTCTCTTCTCCTCTCGCGTGAGCCTTCAATTTCACCTCATGGCGGCTGTTGTGTATCCTAATCGGTCTCCCACCGTCAACTTGGATCCTGCCCCTTTCGCAATTCCATGGTGGTCGAACCCAGCTCCTCTGGCACGGCCGACGTGCCGGCTAAGGCCAGTCTGCCGCGGAAGAGCGCCTTCTCGTGTGAGGCGTGCCGCAAGCGAAAGGTGGGTTTCCCCCCCCCCCCATCTCCCCTGCTTTATCTTCGGATGATTTCCGAGATCACAAGCAATCAAAGATCTCCTTCGTGTACCTTGCTTATTGGCACGCTGACATACTCTTCCCCAGGTGAAATGTAATGGTGCTAGTCCCTCATGTTCACGATGTGCGGCGCGTGGAGAAACCTGCGTTTATAGCTTGTGAGTGAGAGTTTTCTTCCATTTCTTCCCTCTATCTCTTTTGGTGTGACATTCCCGCACGGCTTCAACATCCTCTACATGTTATATGTCCCTACCTTATTAACTCAATATTTTTAGAGCTCCAACTTTATCTTATACTAAACAGCTAGAGGCTCGAGTCGCTCAGTTAGAAGATGCACTGTCAAAGCTACGGAGCCAGCAGCAGTCGGCTGCAGAGGTGCGGAAGGCGAGCACCCCATCATCTACCGGCGATGGTAGAGGCAGCATGAGCCCAAGTCTTCGGACTCGCATCAAGGAGGAAGACGAAAGCAGTAGCGCCGATCTCGCTAGGGATTTCGAAGGGCTGAAGGTCGAGCATGATGGTCGAATATCTTTCCACGGCCCGACTAGTTTGTTTCAGCTTCCTAGTGGTGCTCTCAACGAGGCAGCGTCGACATCCCGCCTTGCCGTACAGCACGAGGCTCGAAAGGAAAGGCTGATCAACAATGCGTGGCGGGAAAGGGCGTTTGAACAGATGGCCACTATGCCAGTAGGTCTAACCATGGAATCTCTCTTGCTACAAGAATAGGATCCTTACCCTACTGTTTTGTATTCAGGAACCGTTCCAATATCTCCTCGACTCGCACTGGTGTTGGATCCAGCCGCTCTTCAACTTCGTCTATCGACCGGCATTTACTCGTTCGTAATCTTGTCGCTGCTGGTGGAGGATGAGAACTAACTACGAGCAGGCGATATGAAGATAAACGGTCCATACTATTCAGATGCTCTTCTCAATGCGATTCTCTCTCATTCGGTCCGGTGGTGTAAGTCTGAACCAAGAATCGGCCATATCCTCGATTCGTTTGATGGCGGTGCACAGTTCTCCCACCGCGCCGTCTCTGGTCTATATGATTCGCTCAAAGTTGGTAATCTCGGTATCCCGACTATCCAGACATTGCTCCTGCTCAGTGCGCAAGAGTGCGGCAGAGGAAACCGGTCACAGGCTTGGTTATACAGCGGCATGGCTTTTCGAATGCTGGAAGATCTAGGAATATCCATCGACAGTCGCAAGTATTCGGACTCCGCCCACTTGAGCGACGAAGATATCGAGATCCGGAACCGTCTCTTCTGGAGCTGTTACTTCTGGGATAAAATGGTTTCCTTATACTTTGGCCGATCGCCTACGATGCAGCACTCGCGAGTTAGTCCGCCACGGACAGTATTGGACGACACTTCGGAGATCGAAATCTGGACACCGCATGGAGTTGTCTTCCCAGACGGTGCTCATTATCCTCCGACTCAGGCCCACTCTACGTCCTGTTTTATGAAAATGTGCGGATTAGCGGAGGTGCTCAATCAGATCTTAATTCACATCTATGACCCTATAAGGCAAGTGTCAGAGGCAGAGTTCTACAATTGTGTGATCGAGCAAGCTAGCAATCTAGCTGAATGGTGGGATGAACTGCCCGATTATCTGAAATTGGTGCCAACAAGCCTTCCTCCATACTCTCCGCCGAGCCACATTGTCATCTTAAAGTACGCGACCCCCACTTTCTAGTATATTGCTTCACGCACTTACCATTCCCTCACTGCAGTTCGTTATATCATACTATCAACATCCTTCTCCATCGTCCGATCCTCTGCTCAAAGACAAATAGAGAGTCATACGATAAGAGCCATTTGGTCCAGTGCATGACATCTGCAACAGCAATCTTGTCTCTATTTGATCTATATCGTCGCACATTTGGCGATGCCCATGTTGTCCTCTCACTTTCCTACAGCGTGTACACCGCTGCGTCGATATTCCTGCTCGAAATACAAGCTTTAAAATACGCTGCCCCAGGAACGCTAGACAAACTCAAATTCTGCATTTTTGCTCTAGAGAGAGTGAAGGTCTCAAGCCCAGGTATGTTTATTCATTGAATTAATATAGGGCCATCATAATAACATTGATACTAGTGATCTCGACCGCACTCAGTCTCGTTTACCAAGAGCTCCAAAAACTACAGATCGATATCCACATTGTGCTGCCAACTCCACAATCGGAACAACCTCCACCTCGCTCACAACCCCCGTCTCGTCATAGTCACTCCCCTTCCCAACCCCAAGGTCTACCACTCCAACAACAGCAGCAGCAATTTCACACCCCTTCGACCTTTAGTGATACCTCCCGTCACGTCTCCCCGTCTCATCAATCATCCCCTGATGCCTCATCTATGGCTGCCTCCGCTGCCCCATCAGGTGTGAATACCTCATTTCTTCCGGGATATTCCTTCCAACAGCCCGTCGCAGATTTCGAGCTTTCACAGACAGGCGTTCCTCAAATGGCCGGGGCGCATCTTCTGGGTGGAATACCCAACGCAATAATGACTTTAGAAAACCCTGGCTCGTATGAGATCACGCCGGAGGTCTTTGAAGCATTCTCGTATGCCGAGCCTATCACGACTAATATGACACCAGCATTTGAGCCTCGGTTAGGGTAGTTTGTGTCAGCGCTGCAGAAGGCGAGGCTTAAGCATTTTACAGCTAGCGGAGCTATAGGCGAATGGAGTAATCCTGGATCGTTTATATCTCTGAACAATTACGTTAATCGTTTCGTGTCTTTGTGGGGAGGAGATAAAACAAGACTTTTGGTGGTATAGCTGTAATCTCTAACTTCTAATTGATACAAATACATAGAAGCGGGTATAAGACAACGAGAAAGTACAAAGTGTATATGCTCTATATGAACATGCAAGAAAGTCCTCAACAGAGACAAGGAAAGGGTATGTATGCAAAAGAAATATTAAATCTCGTATATATAGAAACCGAGAATAGATTAGAAGGGGCAGGGTATGCAAGAAGAAGATATTACAAGGACGTATTCTTGTACTCCGCCTGCTTAGCACCAGTACTAGAAGAGACGCTAGGAGCCGTCTCAATGGAGTCATCAGACTTGGGCCGGGCACGCCAACGCAGGTACCACGGGGTATCGAAAAGATCACCCATGCGCTCGATCGGCACACCCTTAGTCTCAGGCATCCAGATACCCAAGATAACTAAGCCAAGGGTACAAATGATAGCCCAGAAGAGATAGGCGCCCCACACATTCAACGAGGCGAACATATTAGGCGTGACGCGGACGACGGCAAACTGGAAGAACCAGTGCAGCGACATGCTGACCGCATAACTCACGTTCCGGATACGGGTGGGGAAGATCTCCGTTCCGTAGAGGTAAGGGATGGTACAGAGGCCGATGGACCAGCCGACGGCGTAAACGAAGACGGAGGCGATGGCGGCGTCGGACGCGGATTTGTTGTCGGAAGAGCCGGGTTGCAGACCCATATAGGCGCCCATGTAAATGTGGGCCGCTAGCTGGAGACTGAGACCCGCCAAGGCGCAACGGCGGCGGCCGAACAAGTCAATTAGCCCCCAGGTGAAGGCCATCGTGAAGACCAGCTTAACGATGCCGTAGGCGCCGGAGCTGATCAGCGAGGTCGAGCTGCCTGTTACACCGGCGTACTGGAAGATCGTCGAGATGTAGTAGGTGATGCCGTTGCCACCGGTCCATTGGGCGATTGTGTGCATCGCGATGAGGAGCCAGAAGCGCTGGCGGTAGTTGGGGTTGGTTTGCGTTTCTTTGAAGGCTGTCCAGGGGGTGACAGATGCGAGATCGCTGGCTTTGGCGCGTACTTGGGAGTCAATTAGGGCGAATTCGGCTTCGAGTTCGGGGTCGTTGATGTCTTTGCCGCGGAGGCGGGCGAGTACCGCGCGGCCCTCGTCATTTTTTTGTTTAGAGACTAGGTAGCGGGGTGTTTCCGGTACAATGTAGGAGGCTATCATGGCGAGTCCGACTGGGATTAGGGGGATGGCCTGTACCAGTCGGTACTGTGTCCGGGTTGGGGCCATGTGTTGGTTGGCGCCGTAATTAATAAAGAAGCCTATTTTCCAAGATTGCCGAGATTAGCTTCCGCAATCCAAGCTTTGTTGGATCCATTGATAAGATCTTAAGACTTACCCATAGCCAAAACGGCCAGTAAGATGACCATGTAACAGCTAACCACAAGTCCTCTAGTTCTTGTGGGGGCTAATAAGCATTAGCAATGTAGCTCCGGGGTGTCTCAGCTCAAGATGCGCCACGTACCAATCTCAGACAAATATAGCGGTGTCGTCACGGTCAGAGCTCCGGCTCCCAGACCGCTCCAGATTCTCGCGAACAGCAAGAGGCCATATATGCCCGAAGAGAAGACCTGGATGAACAGGCCCGACGCCCATACCAAGCAAGCCAAGCGCCATGAGTTTAATCTACCGAATCGGTCGTTCAAGTCCAGGGCGAAGAGTGCGCCGAAGGCAGCACCCAAGACATTGAAAGAAGTAATATTAGCACTGCGGTTGGCAAGCCCCGTCTTATCGTGGGTCCAATTGGATGAGATGAGGTTGTAGTCTTCTTTGAAAGAATCCAATTTCACACTAGCGCTGAAGCCACCTTCGTCATAACCTGCAAGGAGCACGCCCGGTCAGAATTACAATGAAGATATATATTATATGGACCAGGATCATGGTATATCTCACCTTTGGGGATACTCCCACAAGCAATAATGAAGATAACGAGCGCATAATAGGGGTGGGTCTTCCACCGGGACCAGTCTACCATGACGGCGATTGGACAGCGAGAGGATTAAGGGATTAAGGGGGCGCAATGGAATGTGATTTGTTCGATTATCCCGAGATCGAAAAAATCCGGGGAAATCAGACGATGACAACAGCTAAGCGATCCTTCGATATATTATTATTACCATCGGAAGGTAGTATAAACGAGGGCCGGGTACTCTCCGAACTGGAGACGGGAAGAGGACCTTTTCGGCGCGATGGGGGCAAACGGACGGCGAAGAGTTTTAAAAGAGGGCTTCGAGGTCACGCCCCTTCCGCCTCGGTCAACTTCCGCTCTGTCGCCATGCATCTTCTCCTCCTTCAATCTAAAATTTTTACTCCTCACTTGTGTAATGACATGAAGATCTTCTCAGATTCATTGAATCGTGCTGTTCTAGGTTACGCCGTGCAGAAAAATGCAGAAAAATTACTGCATCTAGTCATCTGTCACTCGGGGAATGCGGCATTAGGGGCTTTAGGAAGAACGTGTGGACTCTCTTCCAACTTGGCACGGTTCAGGGTGTGGCCGTTGTCGGCTGTCTCCGCCCATATTAATCCACTCTCCATTCGCTTAGTACGTGGAAGGACTTAGGAGAGAGAGACCCTTACTGCTACTGGGGATCTTTACACCGTATACAGAGTACGCCATCGATGGAAGGGATGATTGTTTTTCCTAGAGTAACCAGCAGTGACACCTGAGATATCATCCTACCATTGGTTCACTCATTCGTATAACTTCCGGTTAGATCGGATTATCCGAAGCCCCCGGGAAAGAGTATATTTGATAGTATCCGCAGTCTGCTGAACTCCCTCACGGACAACCTCCGTTGTCAGCATGCCTTACTTAAGGCTTCAAGGAGAGTAGATAGCCACTTCCCCGGTGGGTCACTGACTGATTCGTCCCTTTTTAATATTTTTATTTATTTATTTTTTTTTTACCCTCTCTTCCTGCCTTGCGTCCGGTAAAGCAAACGGGAAGTTGGCGAGACTAAATCCGCTGCTGTAAACCTGTTATTATAACTTGGCGGGCGTTGGAACTAAATATGATATTCCTACGGACTTGTCTATCAACGAGGGCAGTCGGGAGAAAACCCCCAACTATCTTAGTGAGTTGAGTCCTGACTATTCACCGTTTTGGTTTACTATATACAATCGGTGATACTCTTCTCCTTGTCATTGTTGCACGACGCTTCTTCGTCCTCTCGCCTTTGAATAATACCCTGCCGTTCTTTGTTCAACATGCTTACCTCTGTCCAGCCTCGACCCGACGTCTTTGGTCCTCGTGCCTCCTTGTCCACCTTCCAAAAGGGGGAGCTGTTCGCTTTCGGTAGAGATGAACAGAAACCTGTGCATGTTCTTCCGTTAAGGAAGAGGCTTCCTGCCAAAGCATGGGATACACATATGCATGTCGTTGAGCCGCATCGCTTTCCGGTTGATTCAAGTGCAGTATATCAACCCTCGACGCATACTATCGAGGAGGCTTTAGCGTTTGAGTCCTCACTAGGAATCGAGAATATCGTCCTTGTTCAGCCATCAATATATGGATATGATAATTCCTGTCTTCTGGAAGCGCTCAGGCGTATCGGTCCCTCTCGCGGGCGGGGGGTGGTGGTGATTGATCCGATGAATACAGATATCCAAACATTATCCAAATGGCATTCACTAGGCGTGCGTGGAGTACGTGTGAACTTGAGATCAGTAGGGAAAGTGATGGACCGGGATGAACTAGCACAAACGCTATTACAACATGCGGAGATTGTCCGTCCGTTCGGCTGGGCTATTCAAGTCTACGTCCCCCTCGAAATGATCCCACTGCTCGAGCCTATTGTTCCACGGCTTGGTGTCAAACTCTGCATCGACCACTTTGGTGGTCCAGACCTACTATCTACGAACTGGAAAGATGGAGCCTCGTTCGACCCCTATTCACTGCCCGGATTTTCATCCCTAGTTTCCCTTCTCCGAGCGGGAGACACATATGTGAAAATCTCTGCACCATATCGGCTCAGCAAGGACCATGAAATGCGAGACATTGAGATGATGGCCCGAGAACTTCTTCGAGAGGCTCCAAACCGCGTACTTTTCGCGACGGATTGGCCGCATACACGATTCTGGGGGACCGATATCGCCCCGTTCACAGAACTGTGTCTACGGATATGCGGGAACGATTCCGTGTTGACCGAGCGAGTATTTCGTCGGAATGCCGAAGAGATGTTGGACGCACAAACTATGGACTGAGTGAGGGTATCTGGCTCTGAGGCAAATTACAGGGTTAACGAGTTACGACTATTTACCAACCATTAGACTAATCTTTTACGCTACAATATTATGAATATGGACAAATTTCACAATTCACAATGTAAATGACGTTGAGTACTACTACGTCTCGGACAGGTTCCGTCGGCTGAAGGAGTGTGGAGACGGACGACGATTCACGCTAAATTTGCATGGACGGAGTTTTACTCCGAGGGCATCACTGCATACTGTATAGATTTGCACTCAATGCCACTCACCTTATCCGAGAATACTTGGCCATCCTCTCGCTAGTTCTGGCTCACTGAATGTATCCGAGCATACCCCTAGCATGGCAAATACGGGAGAACGAATATCCTCAATACGATTGTATATCTTACCATGTAGTATCCTTCTGCTGTCTGACATTCACTTACCGCATTCTCCTTTTACTACCACTCTCCGCGTGGCCCAGGGTACGTGAAATGATTGGTTGAAGACACGGGCTGGGATAAAGTTGCTAAGGTTGTTTGTTGAAGATTCCATCAATCCCTAAAAGACTGCGCATACCTATTTTGGCATGAGCCCATGGTAGGTCAGAAGACGGAAAACTGTGTGTAATGTTTGTTGAAACACTTATTCATAGAGGAAAATCAGAAAAGGCTATAGTTGACTCGAGTATATTAGGGCGATATCATAGCATGGACAGAAACTGCAGTGTCCTCGTGAGGTCCTTAAACTTGATTTTAAAATAAACTAGCTGTTTATGTTTGTTCGTTCTTTCTCCTCTCGCAAAAGAAAACTAAGATCTACAATAATATCCTATCCTATGATATTTGCAATTGCCCTTAAATCAAGTTACATTCAAGTAGGGATCTCGGAGGGTCATGTTCCGTCTCTTGGTCTTTTATCAACACCAAAGCCCTAATCAGGTGTTCAGTCGACTTGTGACGTTGAGATAGCACAAAGCAATAAGTGGTGCTAATTAAAAACATACTTCATAGTACATCTAGTCTCACAGATTTCAACAGTTCGACCCTGTCCCAACCTAAAACAACCAGACTCCAGAGGCAACAATGAATCCAACGATCCCACCCTAACCAACCCCAACAAAAGCCCTTGTATCAAGTCTCATCAGCTACATCGACAACACTCACCACTATAATACCACAACCAAAGGAATAATCCGCCCAATGCACGATCTCCTCTATGGCCCTCCTTGTTTCTGGATGTGGCTTTGGGGTTTGTAGGGAGGTATTCTTAGAAAGAGAGCTTGGTGTGTTTTGCTTATATTTGGTGGGGTTTTTAATTGACCATTGTCCGAGGGTGAAGAGGGCGAGTGTATGGCAGATTATTATGTATTGGGTTTTCTGCTGCTTTCAACTGCCTTCTGGGCCGGTTTAGATTGTGGAAAAATAGTGGGCGCTTTGCGTCGACTTGACCTTGAAGGGAGTACGAATGCCCCTTCCAGAGGTACTCATCGCTATAGTCCTCTACGCTACAAAGTTACTCCAATTCTATGTTTTGGAATTCAACCCATTTGCGAAGAAGGTTCCTACGAAGTTTATGGTTGGAGAAAACTGTCTTTGCGTAAGACTAGCTAGACGACCCAGTTACCATCTCAATACGGTGCAGATGCGATCATTATTTATTCCAACTTAATCTCCGTTGGCTTCGAAAGCTCCAGGTTTGTCTGGATCGTCTTCTTGGCACCATCCTCACGGCGAGACCGTGATCCACCCTTGCCTGGTCCCAGTAGAGTGACCGATTCTAACAAACTGGCGTGACGCTCAAACTTCCCATCGATATGAAGCACACCTCTGCGGTACTCGAATTCGACTTCCAGGGTGGCCTTTTGCTCCAAGGAGTCACCGTCATCCAAGTACAGGCTACCAGACGCAGTGCCATCCAGTCCCGGTGCGATGATGAGCTGGAAGCTCTTCTCGCGAAGCTCAGTCGTGGTCATGGCACTTGAAGACCGGATGGGGATAATGCTGCCTCCACGGATGTGCAGGGGAATGTGGGTGATGTCGATATTGCTGAGTGTGATATTTTCGCCACGGCCGCGAACGGGTGCGCCTGTGTACCAGTCATAGAATATATCATCGGGGAGGTATGCATCGACCGAAGTAAGGCCCTTGTCGGGGACTGGGCTGACAAGAAGGGCGTCACCGTAGAAGAACTGCAAGTCGATAGAGAAGGTATTCTCATCCTCGGGGTATAAGTAGAACATCGGCTGCAAGAATGGCTCGCCGGTCTGCGACTGCTTGTAGAACGAGGTGTAGATGTAATCGAGAAGCCGGTACCGGATGTCAATAGCCTTGCGAGCGGATTCCGCTACTGTGGGCCAGACGTAGAACTCCTGTCCAATGTTACCGATCTCATTATGATTGCGGTAGAAAGTAAAGAAAGCTCCCAAGGAGGCCCAGCGAGCGCAAAGCTCTTCGGTCGTGTTACCAGCGAACCCACAAACGTCAGCTCCAACCATAGGGACCTGGAACATTGATGCAAAAGCAAGCCCCTGGGCGATGCTAATCCGGTAGTGTTCCCACTTGCTAAAATTATCACCGAGCCTGTTGTATGTTAACTACAGTTTTCATCCTGGAAGTGCCCAACGTACCAATGTCCAACGTCTCGTCCTGCGCCCGCATAAGTGCTGCGGGTAATAACCAGAGGCCTCACCTCGGGGCGACGATGCTGCATAGCTTCACGAGAACTGGAGCTCATCACTGAGGTGGATTAGCCTAAAGTACAGGCCCTCGGGGGGTCTCATATATACTCACTCGTTCCATATAAATTGTGTGTATCATATTCCACGTATCCTTCTCCAGCATGAACGATACCAGTGTTGATGGTCTTGTTGCTAAGGGACCCGGCCGCGTTCCGGATTTTGTAAGGTGGATTAAGTAAATCGCGGCCCTCAAGTCCGAGCTTTGCCTTGAAGATTCTCTTCTGAGAATGGCTGGCAGAGGAAGGCTGGAAGTCGGCAGGAAAGCCAGGCAACGGACGAGGGCTGCTTGACCGGACGGGTGGTGGTGCAGGTGGAAGATTGTTGTCAGATGAATATTTTTCTGGATCAGTACAGGGGTCTGGGCAGAAGTTTGAGGCCTCATTCATGTCGATCCACAGGCCATCAATGTCGACACCAGTCTCTGCGTTGAAGAAGGTACTAAATTCAGAATTCCAGTAGTCCTGAATGTCAGGGTGAAACCAGTCTGGATAAGCAGTCACACCCGGCCACACGGCACCTGATCCTGTCTCAGCAAATTTTTATTTATCCTGGGCGGTCGTGATTTTATACCTTTGTATAAACTTCCATTCTGAGTCTTCAGGAAGACACCCTGCTTGAGTCCCCTGTTGAAGGCCCCGTTGTCTGTAAAGAAAGAACTAATCAAATTCTTTTCTTAAAAGAGAATGACCGCTACTTACCGCTTACGCTAACAGCAGGATCAACCATAACAATGTAGCGCTGATCGTGATCATGAAGGTAACCGACCAGCTCACGCATCTTCGCCAGGGGGAAGCGGTCCGGGTCAAGAGAGAAAACTCTCCTTCGGTCCATGTAGTCGATGTCCGTCCACATAGTCTC